GTCAATTGCCTCCCTATCCGCAGCCTACAACACCTGGTGAGTGTGGGGGCAGCCATCGGCTGCTGACTCGCTATCCTCAGCCAGCAGCAACCCAGCCACACCACCATGCAACACCTCTTCCACTTGCACCGTACACTATCCATTCTGATCCACCGCACACAATACATCGACCGAGGCGAAGCCATCTTTGCCACAGGCCTCATCCACATCACACTGCTCTTTGCCTATCCCTCCAACACCCATCGATCTCAACAATGGCGAAATCGTTTCCGCCAACTCCACATTCTTCCCCACACTTACCACTACCACAACTTCCTCTCTTCCAATTCTGTCTACGTCAAACTCCACTTCAACCCTGACCCACCCCATCGCTGCTACCACCAGCATGGCCACTTCTACGTCGGCTCCACAGCTTGGTATTCCCCACCGAGAACACAACCGCCGTGCCAAACTCAAACAACTCCAGAACAACATCCCAATTTCAGCAGAACTATCCCTACGCTACTGGCATTCCCACAACAACATCCACCACTACACCACCATTCAGCTTACATCCCATGACACCTACGACCAAGCCTGGATCCAGGAACACCACCATATCGCCAACTGGATGTCTACACTCAACTGGCCCTTCATTTCACACCATCTCAAACTCAAAGCTCAAGGATGGCAATTCACCAAGCACAGAGCGCATTTTTATTCCAGGTTGGCCACCCACAAACGTCTCTTTCGACGCCTACGGCGACGACAACATACCCTCAGAGAACCACACCTCTACACTTCCACAAAGCATCACGCTCTCACACTCCTCCGCAACCTCACAAAACACACAGCAGCCTCCTTTGAAGCAGCTAAACAACTGCGTAGCGGCCGCCACACAGACCTCGAAGTCTACGCCATCCGGCGCATGGCCGCCAATCTCGAAGAACCCGGCCGCAGTAGGGCTCTCCACATCATCAACAAAGCCCTCCTGTATCGCAACCTCACACCACCCAAACCGAACATCCCATTGACAGTGCCTTTCCTGGCCCACGAGGATTTCACCAAGCACTGCCAACAGTGGCTCCGTACCACCATTCAGCAGCACAAACACCTGACTATCCCCCTCCACCTCCCCTCGCATCGCCTACGCGAAGCAGCACACAAAACTCTACGATCCCAACTACACAATCACCGCGCGTGGGAAGACACCCTCCATTCCCCGCCAGATCCAGCAGACCTCCCCTGCGCGTGCAATCATCTTCGAACCCTACTGCAGGACCCCGACACACCCACTACCAACGGCCATTACATTCTCACACTTGATCAACTTCGCCTGCCCACACACCTCAGCATCTTCCTCAACGCTGACATGAACAGCACCTACTATCCAAGCAAGGCCCGTTACTTCCTCACTTCCAGACAGCCTACACAAAATGGCTCAAGCTGCAGGGACTACCACCATCCCTCGTGCAGCACTTGCAGCCTTTCCTTGAGCATCAATGGCGTCTCCACAACACGCACCTCAAACAACAACCCCGTTTTACTGCTCGCCTACTTCGCCAACTCCAAGAATACCTCGGCCAAAACACAGTACTTCACCATGCCGACCATGAACTCCAACAGCTCCGGCTGTTCTGCCCCCGCCAATATTTCACTGGCGCCTTGAACACATGGCAATCCCCTGAACTTTTCGAACCACTTCCCTATATCACAGCCGCCAACATCCACGACCATCTCACAGCCACTGTTCCACCCATTTTGCGCACCCGCTACAAGTGGGGCTTCCGCAAAGATTTCAACATCCCCTACGGCGTGGTCCACCTCAAGGAGAAGAAACAGTGGCAAAAAGGTCGGACCATCATCTCCTACTTCCACTCACTCAGCGGCAACCTACTCCGCATCACCAGCCGTGCCCTCGACATTATATTTCAACACCTTTACCCCCAGCATCCAGGGCAACTGTCCATCCCACAACTTTGGCACCACTTCCACAGCTACCTCACCCAAGCCCCAGCAGACATCTCCTTGTACGCCACCAACGATGACCTGGTCGGCTTCTTCAACTCGGTCCCTCAACACAGACTCATCGACGCAGTTCATTCTATGATTCACCACTGGCAACAACAGCAATCCACACACACCCTCACAGTGGATGTCCACGCCACTGGCAACCCCTTCCACCATTCCCACATCGGCAGACACCATCGCAAGCACCCCACCCAACGCACCATCCAGACATCCGACATCACCACCATCGTTGCCTTTCCACTCAACACCTGCATTTTCCGGGCTTGCAACAACACCTACAAGCAAATCCGAGGAGCTGGGATTGGCTCCCAACTCTCTCCAGCCCTGTGCAATGTAGCCATCACACTCATTGAACACTCCTGGCACCAGATCCACAACAACTTGCTTCAACACACTGACTTACTATCGCTATGTGGACAACCGCTTCATTGTACATAACGAACATTTCCTCCACCATCCAGCCATTCAAACCCTCATCCACCACAACGTCTTTGGCGACCCAGTGGAACTTGAACCTGTGGACGACTTCCATCTCCTGGGCTTCAACATTGACCTCCAACAACGCACCATCACCTACATGCAACCTTCCCAACCCTGGAAAATCAGGGATTCCACCACCGCCGGGAGCCAGCGCTTGGCTCTGTCAGGCCTCCAGTCCAGACTTCACACCATTCGAAAATACACATTTCCAGCGCTGAAGCTGCTGCCGCCGAGCTAGTGAGGCTCTATGTCCAAAAAGGACGCAACCACAACGCCTGCCACCGATTTTTGGAAAAAGCGCCGACACCGGCGATCTGTGTGTGTCCACCCCTGGGCAAAGGGTTTTCCACCGCCACCTCCTGCACCAGTTTTCCACCAAGTTTCACTCGCAGGGGGGCCAGGCCTGTCACATCCAACCTGGCCCAACGAAGCTAGGATGTGGCAGGGGAAGCACCAAAGGACGCTTTGGTGTGTACCTGCGACCAACTTTTGCGAAAGCTGTCCAATTCCATGTTTTGTTTCCATGGTGGTTCACGATACTTCCCCCAAACCTACTTTTCCCCAGCAGCTGCGCCGCCGGTTTGATTGCTGCCGCCTTGCGACAACAATGTTTAACTTTTCAAGTGATCGGACCCATGCACCTTTCCGTTGAGCCATTCCTTTCCTTGGGGAACTGAGTTAACTGAATACAATTGTCGAAGTGTGTGACTGTGCCGCGAAAGCCGCGCCGCGCCCCTCTCCAGCTCATTGATCACGGAAACGGATCGAGCACCACTCACCCAGCAACGTAGGACCACGTGCTGCCCCATGACCTGAGGCATAAACTGCACGGGCCCTGGGCATCACAAACGCTCCCGAACATCACAGATCGAAAGTATCACTTTCAATGCATTGGCCCAATTGAGGCCCTCTTGCAGCTTAAACATCTGGAAGCAGCCCAAAGCCGCCACTGCCTGGCTCCTCTTTCGAAAACGAGCTGCCTGTACTCCGAGGACGTGCTTTGGGTTGGGCTGCTGAGCATCAGCCAAGAGCTGGACATCATCGTACGAGACAGTGCAGGCCTTCCACAAAGGCGAGACCGGAAATGAACACATTTTTTGAAGAGTGGGGTAGGCTAGTAGAAGAGGGAGGTAGTAGCTAGAGGTAGCTAGTGGAAGAGGTAGCTACTAGCTACTTAAGCTACTACCCAGGACGCAGGATAGCTCACGCTTCTTCAAGGAAGCTCCCCCCGCCGCCCTAAAGGGGGCTGGGGAGCTTCCTTGAATCACTGAAGAAGCGCTCGCACTAATGATTTGGTTCCTAGATTCTTAGGGAAACTTATATAACTAAATTGCACCCGTCTGGAAGCATGTTTTCTGCCACACACTGCATCATGTATGCCACCCAGTTGATGCCTCGGGCGTTTTTTCTAAGAGTTGCAGTTGAAAGTCCATGGCACTCTGGGGCACACTCGTTCTCTCTCAGGTAATCTGAGCCAGAATGTGCTTCCGGGTCCAATATTGAACCGTCAAAGCGACATTAGAGCAATGAAATTGCTGATCCGCAGTTTAGAGGTTCTGTGGCTTATAATCTAATTGAATATAACTGATGTATTGAATCACGTTGTTGAAAGTCACCGACCCGTTGTTGTTGCCTGTGTTCCTGTGACCTGGCGATAAATTCGCTCAACCTTCCTGTCAGTCGGAACGGTACAACGTTTATGCAGATGTGGCGTGTGCCCAAGGACAGCATGGTAGGCCTGCATCAACTTGATCATACCTCATGCACGCGGCCTCAGAGCTGCTCGGACAATTCAGCTGCAGAACTATCACTATCGCATGCTTTTGCTGCGAGGACTGAAGATTATGAACAAAACTCCAACCCAGCAGGTCTGGCAAATGGATGCAAACTCATGCTAAATGCAACAGTTCCTTGCACGCTTAGCTTAGGTCTTAGGTCTGCTATCTATGCATTCAGCACAAGATAGCAAAAACATTGTGTCACGCACATGACTCCATTTTTTGCGATGTTTCCATGTGCATGTTTCTCGTTGCAGGTGACGGCAGTCTGAGATGCCAAAAACGGGTCCTGCAACGAGAGGCCGGTACCATCACTGTCGTGTCTTCCTTCGCACTGCGACCAGCGGACCAGCGGCAGGGGGCTCCAAGCACGAAGTTACTGGTTTACATTGGTTTACAATGTCTGGGGGAATCGCTGGTCTCTTTCCATGCTGTCAGAGCTGAGCAAACCAAACCATTTACCAGGCCCTCTGCTTGCCCTGGTCACGACGGGCTGTAAGCCCCAGCATGACAATGTCACGTCGTGCACGGCGTTGTTGACGCCGGGAAGGGTAGGGAAAGGCAGGACGCAAGAGAATTGAATGAAAACTGGCAATCTAATTGCAATCCTCAAGAAACATTGATGTATATAATATGATGTAATGAAGGTGAGATGCCTGGTGATACTGCTCATGACGGTGGGCTCGATGGCACAGGCCGTTTTGACCGAACTGCTTGTTTTGACAGAACTACGTCCAAAAATACGTCAAACATCCTGCTTGCAATCGCACTCTCCTTCTCTTTCAGAAACACCGCTAAACAAAACGAACGCTCCCCGGGAGTCACATCCGTCAGTTGCCGCGGTCCCACACCTGAGCGAGCGTCTCGTACGAGGCCCGTCAGTACGTGGCACACACGAATACGACTGAGTGACCAGTTGGATACTCCAAGTGGCCCCATCCCAATTGTCAGGTGGTGGCTTCTCCATGTATGACAGACCTTAGAGAAGGATCTGAAGATCGGGAGATGCGATAATAAACGAAAACAAAAGTTCGATTCACTGAAATGAAGGTGAATGTAGATCAACTGAAATGCCATGAGACGAGGAATGAGGAGAAATGAGACCAACATGGACCCACAAGGTCTTTCAAAACGCAACGAGACAAAGGCAAGAACAAATTCGAAAGTTTTGCCCACCCCATCTTCCCAAGAAGAGTCAATGAAATGACTTGCCAAAGCCATCCATTTCCAACGCTACCATAGACTATATATGCCCTTTGAGCCTCGATTTGTTTAGCTGAGCTGCAGCGTTTGAGCATCAGAGCAGATGCCACATCCTGATTCAGCACGCCGTCAGAGACAGCAGTGTGAGGCTGTGCCAATCCCAAACGACGGAAAGGCGATCTCCCGTCTTCTCTTCAGGTTCCCCAACTCCAAACGGTAACGTCTGACCGGCTCTGTCCAATTCCACTGGATTTGACTCTCCAACTCTGTCCTGTGTGCCGGTAAGTTTGTGCATGGCTTTGCCAGCTTGAGTGAAACCATCCTTCGCCTGGGCAAGACGGAGCTGGGAGTGAGAAAATTGATGGGAAATGTGCGGAGCAAACAGTCTGCATCAATTTGCACTCTTCCAGCATTTAATATAGCCTGTAATGATTGATTCAGCTGTACCAAGTCGGCAGTCTTGAAGTGATCGCTGAGTGGTCATTAGAGGCCCTGAGGCAGCCAAGGCTCTTCTGAAAATCGTTTGTGCCGGTAGTGCTGCACGGCTTCTGTGTACAGGTCAGCAGCCTTTTCTTCCAAAGCAGCCTGCAACATCTTTCACGGAACCACGTTCTACTCACATGAAATCCGTGGTTTACAGGGCCTAAGAGGGAGTCAAGAGTGTAATGATACGGATCGAAGGATTGAAACAAGGAGCCACCCCATCCAACACGCAAAAGACCATGTCGGAAGAAACAGTATATAGTTTGGGTCTATCCTAATACCTGCAACAGTGGATGATGATGGTTAGTAAAGGCCTTGTTCAAAAATAGTAATAATTGTTTACTGCCTGTTGCAAGTAATAGGACAGACCCAATATATAGTAATCGTATGATGCTACTGATAAAGACCGTGAAACGGAGCAAAAGAAATGATGCTGACATGAATGAACACCATGGATGTGCCTTCTGAAGGCTCAAAACCATGAAGAATTCGGCAAACAAGCGACGAACCATGAATGTGCTTTCAAAGAGGCCACCCGTGGCCACCCTTCAGATCTGAAGAACCAACCATCTTAAACAGCATCGCTCAATGGCCCTTCAGCGCCTTTGATTGCTTCTTGTTGCTCTTCCAGACTTCAAAAATCCTCAACGTCTCCGAATGGCACAAACTGCCCAGGCGTCCAACTGAATCATAAAGATTGAATCCTGAAGACCTTTCTACAAATGCCTGAACAGCAATTTCTTGGGGGATCGCCGTATGGAGAACTTCATGCACAAGGCATCCTCTCGCAATGTGTTACGAGCAGGTCTGTTGTTTTCTGGTCGCGATGTCACTTGCCAAGTATCTGTTGACTCTCTTTGTCGTGAGTTTCTTCGCTCCCACGGATGAAGTCCTTGGGGCTTCAGAGCAGCAAACATTGCTGGTACAAATGACTGGGACTTGCAAAGAATGTAAAGATTGGCAGCTCTGGGTGTGAATCTTTGATCTAGCAACTATATTCAGGACACTGTCTGCATACATGCATATAGCATGGCAAAGTTAGACCTGGGCAAGGAAGTTGCCAGGCTCCGACATGGCCATTTCCAAATCAGTCAAGCATCGATCGGGCGAGAAACAAAACCGTCAATCTCCATGTCGCTGTGGGTTGATTCTGACACCAATAGCCTCAGTGAAGGTCCAGTAGCCATGCCAACAGGCCATGGGCTGCATGAAATAAAAAGAAGGCTTTGACGAAGCAGTGGGGTGAGGCAAATAAACGACAACCAGTGGCCTTTTCCACGTCATTCAAGCGATTCTTTTGACAAGTGTAAGCCTGCAACTGAGCTGTCTGCATGAGTTTCAGGGGTATTCAAACCATTCTAAAGAAAAATAACTAGCCCCCGCTGTGATGGAATGTTTCCGCTCGGGACGCCAAAGCATTGCGGAAAGCGCACGGGACTACACACACACACACACACGCACGGTCTACATGCAGTTGCAACATCGAGGGCCGGCGTTCACAGCTATGGGACTGCGTGCCGTAGGTCTTGTTCAGCTCTTCCAATCGTCCAGGCATGCTGCACTCGTCACCCACCTCGGAAAGACTAGTGACTAGCAAAGCTAGCTATAAAATCATCTATAAATGACCAAGTAGCGCTGCACAGTCGCAGGTGGCATTGTCGAGCGTGTGCACTAAACAATCGCCAAACGTATGATTCCAATGGCATCTTGAGCCCTTGCATGTGAATCCTGCCAAGTTGCAATGCCGTACTTTATCCTGTACTGCATGCCTTGGCGCCACAAGCAGCGCAGCTTTCGAAAGGGTGGACCGGTGGACCTGTGTCTGGCCTTCACACATCACTCGTCTGGCTTACTGCCTACAGTACATACATCTACATACAGCAGCGGTTATGATGCATCCAGGCCTTCAGACGGAAAATACTTACAACTCATCACGTGCGATGTACCCGTTGTGCTCATGTGTGCCGAGAAGCCCATGTTGCCCACCAAGACTTCGCCAGTGTGAATTCCACAACGGATCGCGATCCTGGGCCCGTGCCCCGTGTCATTTTCAATCCGGTCCAAAGTTCAGAGAGTACTGCAACCTTCCAAAACTCTGCATCTACGCTTGCATCACACCTCTGGGGTTCGCATGTGGTAAGTGCATGCTCGCCACTTTGGAAGGTCCCTCCGAGTCAGCCATTGATTGATCCCAGTCATAGCAGCCAGCATCTCTGCCTGGAGACGATCCATTTTGCCCTCGAATGCTCCGGCCGTCGGCCAGCAGCCAAAGACTTCACGGACAAACACGACGCGGAACCAACTTCACCTCTAGAATGGACGTGGCCTAATATTCCTGCCATTGAAAAGCTGGAGAAAATGTCGAAGATCAGCTGGAGTCAACCAACATAGAACATAGACCTTCTCTAGATCTCAGTGCTCCGTGTCAGTTTACAGTATGACCCTGGTAAACAGGACTGAGCTACACTGCTCCAGAGAGCCTTGGAGCCATGGGCTCCAAATTCGGTGGTTAGACAAGACGAAGCAGTGCACAGCTGATGGGCACTGTTCGGCTGTATTCATTTCTTGAGACATTCGTGAACGAATTATCACCAGGGCTCACTCGGAGCTCTTTCTCTCTCCGCCCTCGGCCTGTTTGTGGTGGGGTCAACATGGATCAACCATCGAGCTGCTCGGAACCTTGTTAAGTCTAACCTTCAAAGCTTTCCGACCAAATGAACGTAAATGAATGTGGGGCAGTCATCTCAGCTACCTCGATTGAAACACGGAGTTCCAACTGATTCCCGACAGATCTCTGGACACCGAAATTTCAGCAGGCTCACCGCCGCCATCACCGCCACCGTGGCATGCTTGTCATTCACCACAGGTGCCCCGTAGATGCAAAGAATGGCATCGCCTCAAAAAAAGAATTATATTTTACAGTGTTACAGTTGTCACCACATGACTTGGTGCAGTTGAGGATAGTTCTTGCACATTGCTGGCACTGACAGAGGGGGGTCTATCCTGGTCTGTCTATGGTCGGCACTGGCCACCAGCAGTGCTACAGGATGTTGCCCACATACGAAGTTTCATGACAATTTGGCCAGCAACACCTTGAAACATTCCTAATGAAAGCAGAGTGGGAACCGCAGCTGAAAGATCTATTTCAGAGCCTTTCTCCCTCATGCGCCCAAGACGCCAATGAATTCAACCACAATGCCACCGTGTTGATCCACGATTTTGGACATCTCCTGTCGGGTTCCACACTCGAGAAGTCCAATCAAGGCACAAAACAAACGAGTGGCACACACCGCGCGGGGTCCAATCTGAGCGACTCTGCGGTTTTGGAATACAGCGCAAGACAGTCGAAGAAACTCGCCGCCTGAAAGTAGCGGCTCAACATCAGCAAGGATTTCTCCGGAGGGATGCTCTCCACGATAGTTGTAAAGCTGGCGATGTCTGAGAAGAACATTGTCACCTGCCACATGGCAGGCAAAACTCAAGAACTTCGGCATTGACTTCTTCACAGCTCCCTTGACTGCTCAGGGGCATTGCACCTGTCGTTCAGACACTTCAATGTTTGCTTCAGCATCCTTTCGCATCATCAGCTGCACGACTGGCCTTAATTCGAAGAGACCGATGCAAGTGCATCGACAGTCGCGGGTGCTGTGAGAACTCGGTGGTACACTGTGTTACCAGTGCAGGGGCGATTAGAGGGAAGTTTTCATGGAGTAAAACAGGCTCTTCGTAGGCAAATTATGGAAAACAAATTTATACATATTTATACAACCTGCATTAATTATGTAAAGTACTAGGAGTCCTAAACAAGACAAAAGCCATGTTCTATTTTGCACACGTGTCCCCTCCAAAGTTTTGCAAGGATGCCTGAGGTGCCATTTGACATGCAGGGTGAGCCGGTTTGATACTATATAATATGGATTGATATGGTTTGCTTTTCTCATACCAGCTTCCGTCTTCAGGATACTTTGGATTGGGCTTTGTGGCCTTCCGGCCTAGCATCTTTCAAGGTCATCTCAAAGGTAGCTCAGCTCTGCGCCTTGCAGCCGGGCAACCAGGGCACGTATTTTCCCCAAGAGCGTATCGCAGTTTTCATGCCATTGAAGCGACGCCGCAGCAGCCTACAGGAAGACATGCTTTCAACCAGGTGCCAAACTACTGACGCAGTGGGGCTCGAAAACTGAAAGCTATCAGCCACAACGGGTGCAAAAGGTGTGATTGGTCGAGCAGCTAGCCATGTGTTTGACGTGCACTTCTGGAGATCAAACACGAACCACAGGACATCCAGGTGTTTGTTGGCAATTGTGAGCCCACAAATGCAAGAAACCAATGCTGTGAATGTCTGCTGAATTTCAATTGCATGGCCGGGCCTGATCTCGCTGGTTGCAGGCTGATTCTCGTCATCGGCGTTTGTCGTTGCTGCCAACTGCAAGCGGGTGATACTCTCCTTGGGTGGCTTCAACCCACAAATAGAGGCAGGCTGAGAATCGACTGGTGTACTGGAGGATCTAATGGGCAAGGCACTCCCAACAAAGCTGGGGTGACGACTGAAGTCCCAAGGCCAGGGCTAGAGCGGGCTACAGTTTGGTGAGGGTCTGACAGTCTGAGAATGTTTCCGTGGCCGAGGCTCGACTTCATCAGACAACTCCACCAAAGGCTTCAGCAGGTTTTTAGAGAGGTAATTCAAATCTCTTGTCAGCAGAGTAATACCTCCCATGATGAGAAGCAGTACGCCCCCTGAGTGTCCGGGCAAACTCAATTGCTCAAAAACAAGTTGCCGCAACATTAGTCATTTCGGTGCCGTCTTCGACAAGCTGATGTTTTGAAGGCGGCCTATGTCTATGTTTACTGAATGGCTTCACTGCGCACAGAGCTACCTGAGCTTCCAGCAAGTGGTAAAAATGGAGTCACGCGCACTTGCTTGGGTGTCTACCCTGTTCAGGAAGAGGGCAACAGCTTCGGTCTGGTTTTCCAGCTCTTCTGCACTGATGTCAACATCCTGCAGGGCAGCTCTCTGGAAAGCCGTAGGGGACGAAAGGCGCCTAGAAAGAAAAACGACATCGATTGCGGCAGACTCCTGCTGTGAGAACTCCGGGTATCGTAGCAACAGCAAGTCGCTTGTCCGGTACGGTGAGGCAGAAACATCTTGATCCACTTCGTTCAGGGTCTTTCTCCTCGGACCAAACGAATGTACAATTCTTCATCTGAATCTGTTCATGTCCCTATTTTCCCTCGGAATGCTCCTCTTTTGGTGAAACACTGTGACTGTGAATGTCAACCTTCGTCCATCCATGTCTACTCTACGTCTTGAACCCTTCCATCAACAAGTCCATCTATATACTAAATCTACTGTTGGACTACGTCGCGAAAATAGACATGTCTCAGACATGCGTGTCATTTGCTGTGTATATCTCCTTGCCAGCGCAAGGAACCAAATGCAAGAGCTTACAATGCAGCCCATAGAAATGCTTTTGCATGTGCATGCGCACTGCCCTCGATGTGCCCCTTGACTTGAACTGTATATGTCACCTCCTCCAACCCCTGCCACACAAACACAAAGGGAAAACGAATGTAAAAGTCCGAAGACTGGTGCATATTTGCAGAAGCCTTCTCTTCTCTGCCATGCAGCTGTTGCCACAACGTGGTTTCTGAAAGCGGACTTGAACAGCTCACCCCATTGGGGCGCAGGGAGTTGCAGTAGACTTGCCTGCACCATAGATCTCAAAGTAAGCTTCCCCAGCTTTGGAAGAACCACGTCAAGACTACAACATGCACAGTTGAAGCAATTCACTTTTCTTCCTGCAGCTATTTCTCTCTTGCTCTATGAAGAGTTCAGCCCCGTCAGGTAAATAAACACCATCATCGCAGAAACAGTCAGCCCTTCTTGGCAATGTGGAATGCAAAAGCGCTGCTGGCTACATGTCTGGTATGATTCAGTATGACCACAAAAGGGTGTCTTGGCGCTCATACTCCTGGACAAGGAAGTTCATGTCCCGTTCTGGAAGCACCAAAACACCCAGTAGCCTCTGCAAATCTAAGTATAGAAGCGGTCGATCAGGTCGTCCCCACTCGTTCTGCTTCCCCCAAGTGATCACTTGCCTGGCACGGGTCAAAATGTGAAGCACCACGGCAGCTCGACATTGAAGCGGCAAATGCAAGGTCAAACACGTGCCTGTTTGAGTCTTTTGCAAGTTAACGAGTCCAGTGCCATAGAACCTACGTCTGAGTATGAACCCCTTGCGCCATTGCACCTTCGAATTGCCATCGGGATGGTGGAGTTGAACTCCGGGGCACCTCGGAAAGTTCAAGCATGTTCAAGCTACTCAAATCAATTGTCATGAGTCATACTGTACGACACAAACGTATATATATATATACATTATATATACAAATTTAATGTAATGGTAGAAAGTGCCCGTTTCGACGGTCTCAAGTCTGAGTCTTCATGTTCAAACTTTTGTGCGTGTGACCAGGTGATGATGACCGTACTGCACCTGAACTGTCTGTGCAGGATTGCTTCACTTTGTCGGACAAAACGGTGGTTGACATGTAAGAGAACCCGCGCACACGCGTAAAGAAGGGTTGCATGCCTATCTTATTGTGCAATCGGTGCGCAGCAGGGCACAGCAGAATGGCCAACTTCTTTTTCATTGCGATTCTGTGCAACATGGCGCAACTCTGGTAAACAGCCAACAGCGCTCTTTTCACCCAAGTCCCGGTGGCTGTGGCCAGCCACTTCTCCCCTGATTTGCCGCTTCGGTGCCGATGGTCAGCTTCACATATGCGTTGAGCCTCTCAAAGCCCCAAGAGAGAGACGTGTCTTCTGTCAAAAGCTCCACGTAGCTAAGCACCAGAATGATGATCCTGGCAACGGCATTCAACAACACAAGCATCCTCCAACTTTACTCACTCAGCATGTGAGCGTGATTGTCTTGCTGGACTGACCTGCAAAATCCTTGCTCACCTTTACTCGTATCTCTGGTCTTCGACCATGGATAATGTCGGGTACCGGCAAAAACTGAAATCGCAAAATCACAAACCAGCTTTCACTTCCATACACTTCGAAGGGAAAGCCACACTTGCTGACTGTCCATCAGCAAGTAAGACTTCGGAGATGGCAAAATCTGACGGAGAATTGTATAAAACCAAGCCGCAGAATGGCCATGGCGACCTTGACGCCAATATATTCCGCATTTCTTTGGCGCAATGCTTGCACATTTTGTCCACGCCTAAGGGCGCATGTTGGGTGTTTTTCGCCTGTGGTGTGCTTTACAAGTTCCAAGCACACAGGAACATGTGGATAGTGACGAGGCTGAACTTCAAAGACAAGTGGCTTCAGCTGCCGCACTACAGAGTTCTTGAGCCACTCGTAGAGTGGAGGCTCGTTCCTTGGAATGGCGCTTTTCGGCCATTGGCTTGGAGCCAGTTACACGGAGTAGCGTCGTAGCTCCTCGCTTTCCACCCCCCTTCATCTATAGCACTTCACTTTTCATACAGGAATCATAGTCTTCTCACTCAAGCATCCAAGACCATGCGAATCAGAAGACTACCTGTGATATCCTGTGATAAAGGTTCTCATTTTTGGATGGTAGGGACCTATGTGTATGTTTGGAGGAATGGAGGGGGCACCGAGAAAACTGAAGCTCACCCCTCACTGCAAACAAGGCACATGAGGGAGTCTCTAAACTCAATGTACTCAACCTGGTCTGGAAAAGGCTTGGAATCGGCACCTTAAAGGCTCGCATCAAGCAGGTACCGATTAGCTAGGAATGTGCACCCGAAGGTTGGTCCAGTTCGCCACCGAACTCGAGGCGGGCGCACACAGGAACAAGGCCCGACAAAGCCGTTGAGGTCCGGGCGTGTCGACTTGTTCAAGCCATTGGGGATCGCCAAGGCCAGATGGGTGGTGTCCTGAACCGAAGTCGTCGCAGCCAAGAATCACGCGTCCAACTTCGAGGCACGCAATGGGCACTGTTGTCAATGTTGAGTGCAGTTTGCCATGGCCTGTTCTTGCTTTGTTTCGATGTCGAGCTTGCTGTAGTTCATGCGGTTTCCGGATCCCCGCTACAAAGGAAATCTATGCAACCACCATGCAAGTGCTCCACTAAGGTCCGATCATGACAATTGCAATCTTCCAGAAGTCTGGCTGGCGGGAGGGCATCACAACTGAAACACATTGAGGAGAATTGCAGAATAGTGGGTTGGACTGAACCCTCACTTCTGCAAATGCAACCAAAAGGAATGGGAGGGGACCATGACACTCGACGTACCTTGAAAAATCTTGCCCAAACTGCTGCTCAAAACAAAGCCAGCAACTGTGATAAAAGGGGACATGCTTGTATCACCTGTCATTTCGCTCTGCCGGCTCCTGCTTTGGGATGTCCAAGGTATTTTGAAGCGAATCGTTCCTGATCCGACTGACGGCGATTGGTGTCAGTCGTGGGGCGCCAAATAAGGTGTATTATGTCTTTCAGTATCTTTCAGTTTGTGTATATATATATGTGTGTGTGTGTGTATTGTTTTTGTTATATTTATGGTTGTATATGTTTGTATTGCAGTATAGCATCAGAGGAGCGTATGCTAAGTTGCACCTGCCACTATTGCACTTTTGGAGTACTTGCGGCATCGCCCACGAATCTTGAGGCTGCCATGCTGCCACCCAATCAGTGGCTCTGTGCATTGGAATTTGCATGGTGGATCCCTTTGGGAAAAATTGATTTCACATTGGCGATAATTTATAGTAAACCCATTGAGGTTCGCCGAAAGCTCACTGTGATAGATCCATCGGCCCATAAAATTCAAGTCGCTCTGAAAAACCTCTATATACCTTCCTTGTTTCATTAGTATCCCACCAAAGGCAATGAAAACATTGACAAAAAAACATTAAAGAATATGATATTGAATAACCTGTGTTAAGCCGTCCCAGTGCATCCAAGTGTCAGGGCAGATTCACTGCCATGGAGCTGGGATGCCCCTATAGTAACTATAGTACTTACGGGCGTTTGACCACCATTGCTCTGCTCTGTCGATGGCCGCACCTGGCATTGTGACGCGTTGTGCTGCCTTTGTGAAGCGAGCAATCTGCGGCAAACAGTTGCCATTTACTACATATACAGGCTAAAGCCTTGGTCAAAATATTGAAAGCTTGTGTGCTTCTCAAATGCGCACATGATTAGAACACAAAAACTCTGTCGACCTGTTTGCATATATACTTACCGCGACATTACACAAACGGTCTACATGCCCACCCACACTCACCCCCCCAGCTGCACCCGTGGGACGCTTATCCGTGCAGAGGCTGCAGCATCAGCTAGCATACGAAGCTTGGAGGTCCATTCAGTCTTCTTCCTGAGGCAAGCTTTTCGTGAATCTTCCTTGTCAGCCCTATGTCAAAGCTTTCTTCACAAAGTGAGAAAGAAGGAGAGAGTGATGTTGAGATGCAACTACGGAAAAGTCTTCTGCTAGTCCAATACTAGGTACTAGTCGACATCACATAATTACGAACATGTCGGGTACTTCTCAACTTCCTAATGGTCAACCTAAGGACCCACAGAATGTCAAAGTCAAAGGTAAATGGACCACAAATGGTGCCCATTAACGGATACAAGTACCACTCGACTCGATTGCACTTGCCGGAGCGTGCACGATATCCAACACGTGGATGCATGAACAAAGCAGGCAGGGTCAACTGCGGCAACTGGGACAACCTCATCAAAGAGTGGTTGTCCTATTCATTCTGGCAATGAGATACGCAGGGGCCAAATGAACATCACCCTGACCCTGCGCAATGCAATCAACAAGTTCAGAGAGGACGGTGCCTTGACAACACCGGGACTTCAATTCAAGATGCAGAGCGGCACGGACAGAGATCACTCTCAGCATCTTGATTTTACGTTGTGCAACAATGTGCAACAGCAACAAAAAGGCAACCTTCGTCAAGGGCCAACAGGTGATCAAGCAAACAAACAAACGATGACAACAAAGGCAGGACTCTGAAGGCAACAAACCGATAATTACTGGATCAACCGCCGGCGAATGAAGGCACCTCGGATCAACGAAGGGGCGGTGGTTCAGCTTCACCTGTGCCGAGGGAGGACACATACCGCAACGGCTCCAACGTACCGAATCCTTGAGCGCACCAGTCTCAAAAGGTGAGACCTGGAGACGCAGAGGCTGTAAATGTGGCAACATGAGCATTCCAAACATGTGCATAATTGCGCACATACCCCTTCAAAAATTGAGACCCAAAACTCTAGCCATTCAATGAGCATTCCGAGGCTCGAATTTTCGATGCGAGCCAAGTCAAAGAGCTTGTCTCGACACAAACGAAGAGCTGATTTGGAAATATAACCTCAGGAAATATGGTGAGAAATGTCCGAGCTCCAAAGCTGCACAATATAGACTCGAGGCCCTGGCTGTCCATGTCTTCATCTAGAAAACAGAAAATCCGGTAGATCTTCTTCTCCAGGACGCGCCTGTGGAGTCTTCATCACTCTGTGTGCTATTCGCAGGCAAATGAACATCCAGAGATACCCACATGCAAGTATGAAGGCAAAGGCAACATTGCCTGCTCGACTTCCAGCAGCTCAGCTATTAGAAGGGTCAACCTGCATGACCTGAAGGACCTGAGGCTGTAGCGGTTCTGCAATTCCAGATCCAAGCGGCGTGGCATCTTGGTCTTCGACCTGATGAACCCAATACCGCTGAAGCTCCTGAATCTTTGGCATCAGTGCCTGGAGCAGATCATTGGATCCCGGATCATCTTTGAACTTTAAGGATGACTACAGTATATACTAGAAAAGCGACTCGGGCCCTCAGGTATGTCTACCAAGGTGCTGCAATGCGCGCGATGCGGCCAAAGCGGTTGAGCCGCGCAGCCCGGGCTGAGCGGCCGAAGAGCCGCAGCATTCGAGTGAGCCTCCGGCAACGGCTTTGTGGAAAAGAGAAATGCAGAAAGAAATGGAAGGCAATCCGGATCACACTCCCTGAAACAATCATGAGGGAAAATGGCCCGTTGGATGACCCTTTTCCTCTACAAAGAGGCGGTTGTCCACTTCCATGTGAGTTGGAGGGGGGGTAGATCCTTTTGGAGGGGTAAGGGTTTGTTAGGTCCATTTCGACTCCAGCTTCATGCATGTGGACTTCAGAGCCCGGCGCTGGCACCAATCCGACTGTGCACCGCGGTGTTTGCTTTTTCTGACTTCATGCAACGGCAGATCGGTTTTTCGATGCCGACTTCGGCTCGAAGATCCTGTCTTTTCAAGTTGCCTGCTCGACCAAAAATACCTTGTCATGAGTCTGTGAGAAATTCTTCCACCTGGACTCTGTGAGGTGATGTCCGTACTTGGATGGTTTGTCGAGGCCTTTACCCTCCTCGAATTTCGTCAAGAGTAGCAATTGAACGACTGTCGAGCCCTTGATTGAGCAGATCTTTGCAAGGCGGACAAGCTTTCGCTGTCATGCGCTGTCACGCATCAGGCTTTAAAAGCTTTAGCCATGTGTAGGCCTCTTTCTTTTTTATGGTGAGAGTGATGCGCTTGCTGGCGCTGACTCTGAATTTGCACTCCTCAGGCAGGATCTCGTAGTAAAGAGGATCCAGCTCAAGAACCCAGTCCAATTTCTCTGCATGGACCCGCAATTTCAGAGCCTTAGGCTGAAAGGATACCTCCACCTCACCGGCGTTTCCATCACCTGCAGCTGCTAGAGCCTCTGGCTCTGCATCGGCAGAGATGTAAACCTTGACTGCCGCCTGTTCATCACCCCATGCATAGTTCAAGATTGCCCGCTCTGGCCGCGAGGGCTGGTCGTCGCTGGCCAAGGTCTTTTTCGGAACGGGCTCCGACAGGGCCTCGACTTCACCCAACTTTTGTGGCGAGCCTCCAGAGACAATCCGATGCTCTTCCGGCACGTCCATCTTCCTGGAGTGGGCGAAGTAATAGCTTGTATCCCCTTTGGCAGCAATGGAGTTCTCAACGGCAGTTTGTGGAAGCTCGTCCTCGTCTACATGGCTCTGCCCACTTCCTGTCCCGTGCACACCCACCGTGATCACGGCGCAATCTTCAATCTGCTCAGACTCCAATGAGGCATCGTCTTTCAGCCACTTGTTTGTGGAACCTTCACTTGGATTCTTGATGAAGAGCTCCATGTCATCTACGGGAATGTTGCATGCTTGTTCGATCTTTTTCTTGATGTCCATGCCATGCTCCGCTGGCTTTGCAGTGAGCTCAAGCTCTTTGCAGTGCCCCCTGCCGCTTGGCACAACCGCATACAAGGTCAAAGGCGGAGCTGATTCAGACATGGCTTTCCAGCCAAAGGGCTTCACTGCTGCCCTTGAACAGAAATGACGGTGCGTTTGCAAGAAGACCAATGAGAAAGAGATGTATTGTTAAGACCATCGTGACATCACAGCATGCTCCATCTCTGTCCCCTAATCCCGCGCCTGCTAGATCGACCGGCAACAAAGGCATTGTCGTCATTCGCTATCTGAAAAATGATAGTGTCCTGAGCAACGTTCGCGTTGCTGGGGCCAACGCAACCACTCGTTGCAACTTGGGACAGATCCGGAACTGTTTCTGGCTTCGGACCGGGAGTTTCCAGGTCAAGTCCCTAAGAGAATCATGGTGGTGTGGATGGCATAGGTCCCGTTTAAAACAAAAAACAGCGTCTTCTCCACGAACAGGGTATCGAGGTTCCACTTCAATGACTCAAAGAGCCTCATGGCGGACAACGAACACGATGTTCTGCCCGCCAGCTCCGCGCACCACGCCGAATCGCTCCGGAGGGACCAAGGACCAACCATGAACCAGGGGGACAGACCATGGTTTTGTAGGTGTAAAATCCTTATAGTTCCCAGACACTCCATGGGACTGCACCAACTTTGCCAAGGCACCGGGATCAAAGAGATGAAGGCCACCAAGTCCAATATGAAAAATGCACTGTAAATGTATCCTTCCTTGCCTGGGACAGGAAAGACATTAGGATCCTATTAGGGGCATCATCTGGTCCAGTAGCAAGTCACACATAGTAAGCGACGGTTCGGGAAGAGGTGTTTCTTTTCTTTGCGAAGTGTGGGTCCACGCACTGTGTCAGAGACAAGCAACCCATGCCATGGACAATGAGCTCCAGCAAGAAGGCCAGCGCTACAAAAGTTGTGCAAATTGCGATGCCAACTTTGGAAGACCTCAGAATGTCCAGCACATCCAGCGTGGTAAAATACAAACACCATATTGAGGGAAAAGATGGCCAAGCACTGCTATTTTTAGTTCTGAAAGCTCTGTCAACAACAGCTTGTGCCCAAATGCTTGTCACCGGCCAGCGCATCAATGTCAATGGAGAAAAGAGCATAAGCTGTGAAGAACACATAGGCAGCTGTCCACGCCCTGCGTCGATCACCGCTCCAAGCACAATGGGCCGAATTCACGTCGTCAGTCTGAGCTGAATTCCGTTTCCCAACACCTCTCTCTCCAGCTGACTTTCTAAGAGCCTCTATGTGCAAGATGTAAATTTAACGATGACTCAACCCCGAACCCCTGAAGACTATTGTTCCGGAAGGCTCCTCTTGTTCTGCAAGTTTTCGCAGAATTGCGCGATTGGGCCCCTCTCTCTATCTGCAGCAACCTAAGTGGCACATGATGCGATAAAGCTGAACTGTTTGCTTCACGGCCGGCTAATCACTCCCAGAAGCTGGTTTCTTCTCCAAGCCATCTGCCGTCCAAACCTTGCATGCGGACAAAGTCGAGTGAAAAAAGTGCCAGAAGGTTTTGTGCAAGAGAATCTGTTTGAGAAGTCGATCAACCAACATCTATGGCGCCTGTCACATGCATGTCCAGGATTGTTTTACATTTTTGGTGCCCACAATGTGCTGCACCCGTTTCATCATAAGCAATCCCTGGGTTCAAATGACACCTATGTGCGTCGGTTCAGCTGTTTGCCAAGGCACAGTAGGTGCCATCTCATCAGCTTCTGCTTGCGCCAATGACCGCCAGGAAGGCGACCGCAGCAGTGCTGGGCGTGCGCAGTGGGTAAGCGATTTCATCGACTTTAGTGACAGTGTTTGATTTTGTCTGTCACTATATATATATATATATGCTATTGCTATGGCATGCTATGGGTTGGGAGCATGGAAGCTGCGGTTTCCATTCCGCGCTGTATCCTTGCTCAAACACCCGGCGTCCAAGGCACTGCGCTTATCGCTGGCATCATTGAGACCTTCAGAACCTTCTTTGGCATGTTCTGGGGCACGTTGGAACTCATAGCCTGGCTGGCGAGGGCTTCTGAGTGACTAGGACCAGGAACTTGTCTTCCTCGCTTACCATATCATGGCATGTGCCAATATCGATCACATATGGTGTTCCTTTCTTACACAAAATGTTGAACCCACAACCTTGAAGAACCTCAAGTACACGGATAGCTGTCGTGACGACATCTGACATTTGAGGCCATCACATTGAAACTGTGATTCGCCATTTGCGTTTGCGTACACAAATCAGAAGTGTACCAGGGTTTCAGGTGTACTGTGTTTGGGGAAAGCCAAGCGCCCCTACACAAGAAGACACAAACCAACCTTTTGACTTTTGGCTCAAGAAAAGGACCGCCCGACGTACTGGGCATTGCGCTGTTCCGCAACCACAGGTTATGAGCCCAAGGCCATGGAACATCGGCGCCGAAGAATGAGATCTCGAGAAGGGCGAGAAGCTCAAGGAGATCGAGAAGGTGAAGTAGAGATTGGGGTGGCCGACAGGAGGCTTAACCAGCTCTTGTCGGAGCACCGCCGATCGCAAAGAGCATCCTCAGCACCCACCACGGGGCATCCAGGAGTTCGACGAGTACAAGGTGGCGAATCTGGAGAAGCCCGTGGAGGTCAAGGACACGGAGGTCCAGAAGGTCCGAGCAGGGAACAGCATCCCTCGCTGACAGGGCCTGGAGGGCCCAATGTCACCTTTGAAGTCGAGGGAATGGCTGGTGGCCTGTTCGGGGCTTTGCAGGACCCTTGAGCTGGGCAGATGGGCCTGGGGCGTCTTCAGGACTCTGTTCGGCATGGGTTGGAGACCTTACAAGTCGCCTTGGGAGGTGGACCACGAGCGCCTGGTCTACTTGATCCACTACTTCGGCCACATGATTCAGGTCTTCCGGCCGCCCAGATACCGGTGTCTCCTCCACCCATGGGGGGGGGCGCTGGGAGTGGACGGATGGGGATCTTCACCCCTGAGGCTGGAGCAGACAATGGGCGTGGTCAGGTCTATCCGAGGACTTTGGACCCCTATGCTTTGCCGGGAGTGGAGGTGAACCCTTTTTGGAGTGTTCAGAGAGGGCGGGAAGTGGGAGATGAGAAGATTCGCTTGAAGATCCTGAAAGAGGCAGAGGCGAGCTTTGCGAAGGAGATCAAGCGGTTGGCAGAAGATGCTTCATCCTATGCCTCAGCAGCCAGTGCCGCAGCGGCGGAGCAGGCGAAGAAGGAGGCGGGTGTGAGCGTGGGTGAACCGGCGGGAGGTCCAGGACCACCTGGTCAAGGGGGAGGACTGGATCGACCTCCAGGACTTCCAATGGAGCGAGCGGCTGAACCAATTGGGGTAACCGTTCCAGAGGCGGTAAGATCTTTGGAGCTGCCAGCGCTGCCTAGCCCGAGCAGTGGAGATGCCTCGATTCAGTTTGGAGATTGGTTGATAGTGGTGCATCCGTTGATGTCAGATTTGAGTGGTAGTGCACAGCAGTGGTGGGATCAGGCGATTAAGGAGGCAGAGCTTCTCTATGACAAGCGGCTGAGTTCTTCGCCCCTCATGAGGCTCCGAATCAAGTCTGAGCTCCCAGTCCCTGACAAGTTCAAGCGAGTTGAGAGCAGCGGGGGATTTCCATGTTGCTGGCGGCGTTGCCCTCAGACATCAGGAGAGATGTCATCACAGCCCGGCAGGTGTCCGTGGTGTCGGTCCTCTTCAAGCTGTGGACGGTTTATCAACGAGGAGGTGCGGCTGAGCGGACTTCGATCTTGAAGTCATTGACGGAAATGAAGGTGGGCACGAGCGTGACAGATCTTCTTCAAGCGCTGAGGACCTGGCGGCGACTGCTGGGACGGGCGGAGGAGATCAAGGTGGCGATTCCGGATCCCTCGGTTCTGATGTCAGTGCTGGGAAAGGCTTCGGAAGGGCTCATCAAGGTGGGAGGCCATCAAGCCTCATACAGAATCTCGAGATATCTCGAGTGTTCGTCAAGAGCTGAGAGTGGACAATCAACCAGGTCTACCTCAGATCAGGGACTTTGCAGAGTACCTGCAGGCGGAAGCAGAGGACCAGGCATTGATTGCGCCTGCCTCGAAGACCCAAGTATCTCTGACCTCCGGTAGTGCGCAGGCGACGCCAGTGGTGAAGGCTATGGTCTCGACGGCTACGGGGGAGGATAAAGACAAGAAGGCTCCATGTCGGTATTGGGGCACAGCGACGGGCTGCAAGAGGGCGGATGGTTGTTCATTTGCACACTCTTGAGACCAGGTTAGGTGGAGAAGAATGGCAGATGTTTTGTATGCTCTGGCCAGGGTCATATGTCCAGGGAATGTCCTTACCGGAAGGAAAAGTCTGGCAGGGATGTGAAGAAGACGGCCAAGGTGAAGGGGACGGGGGCGGAGAAGGAGGAGACCAGCAGTCCGGGAGAAGCCGGAAGATTGGGAACTCCTGTCTTGACGAGTTCGGCGTCCACTTCTACAAAGCCGGCATTGAGTAGTGGTGAGAAGGGAAGGGATGGCACTGGGGAACAGCCCAAACGGGATGATCCTGCGGCGGAGCTGATCACAGTGGCCACCTCCCTACTCAAGTCCCTTCGCAGCATGAAGACCTTCAGGTTGAAGCAGGTCAATGTCGTGGAGGATGAAAAGGACCAGGAGCTAGCGCTACTTGATGGTGGAGCTACTCATCCGCTGAGGATGGCACGGCCAGAGGAGCGGGGGGTGCTGCAGCCGATCACGGTGGAGTTGGCTCATGGGTGTACGACGTTGTACAAGCACCCAGACTTTGATACCCTTTTGGCATTGGAGCCGGTGGAGCCGATCTTACCGCTCCATTTGCTGGTGGAAAATGGCAGCAGCTGGGGGCCGTGAAGTGTTGGCTGAGGTCAGGATGCCCCGTCATGAACAGGAAGGATGCTATGGTGATGTTGTCCGAGTTCGAGGAGAACCAGAAGGCTCGGAAGAAGTTGACTCAAGAGGATTGGAATTGGTGGCGTCGCATCATGCCGGACGTGCCTGAGGACGTGCTGGAGATGATGGTGGGGTTCTCAAATGAGCCGAACCCTGAGCTGCTGCCGTGGAATAGACGTCAAAGGCGTCGACATCAGAAAAGTAAGGGCTTGGTGATTCACTTGTTCTCTGGAGCTGATACAGGGAGGTGGAAGGGCACCTTTCCGAATGAAATGGATTGGGTTTCCTGGATTTGGAGTTGGGGGATGGCTTCAATATGCACAACGTGAACGTGTGGAGCTATGTTTGCTCGCTGGCTCGATCTGGGAAGGTGAAGGCGATTGTTGGAGGTCCACCTTGCAGAACCACAAGCAGGCTGAGATGTAAGGGGCCCCCAGGACCGAGGAGAGTGAGAGGCCGTGGCTCTGATCGTTGGGGATTGGAGGGGCTGACTGCTCGTGAACGTGAACAGGTGCGGGGCGACTCTGCACTGGTGGTGAAACAGGTTGGTCTATGGTATCTTGCGGAGGAGCATCGGGAGGGCCCTGAGCCAGTGGCCTTTCTGGTGGAATCTCCGCAGGATCCGATCAGCTACATGGGAGAGGGGACTGGAGAGAGACAGGAGCATCCATCTTTCTTCGAGTGGCCCTTGTTGAAGAGAATGGTTGAGGAGTATGGAATGAGCTTGGTGAGCTTCGATCAAGGGAGGATGGGGCATTCCGGGCGAAAACCTACAAGTCTGCTGACTAACCTTCGTCACCACCATCACATACTTGCACCACTGGTTCAACCCGAGATCGCGGCCCTGCTCGAACGGACCCATGATGTCCACCGCCATCACAAAGGCTGAAGAAGCATTTTTGGATCTTCGGTGCGGGCTTGAGAATCCCATCCACTCCTCCACATCCATCTTGGCCAAGTCAGCATGCGCCCTCCCCCCAAGCCGGAGGTTCAAGGCCAACCCAATGGCCTTGACAAGGCCATCTGACCATCGTGCCCATGAATGAGCGGTTCTTTCCTGTAGCCCTCCGTCCACCGGTTCCGCCGATCCTCCTCCCCTGAGCCCATCAAGGTCCTCCAACGATCCCGGTGCCGATTGTGAAGGATCTGGCCGGGGCACCAGAAGAACCACCGGATCACGAGGCGGAGGTCAAGGATGAGGAAGAAAAAGAAGAGGTGGAGCTGGCCACGGAGGAGCAGGCGGCTGAGCTGAACATGAAGGCCGCGCTGGAGCGAGCTCAAGAGGAGGTTCCGCTTCAGAACCTCAGGGTCGCAGAGCCGATGCAGTCTCGAGCGGTGGAGGACATCGTGCAGGCGCTGTCCAAGATCCACGCTCACTTCAGGATGTTGGGGGTGCGGCCACGCAGGCTGCATTCTGACAGGGAGAAGTCCTTCCTCACGAAGTCGGTGGCCAGGTGGGTCCAGGCTCGGGAGATGGTTCACACGATGACTTCAGGTGATGACAGCCAGTCAAATGGCAGAGTTGAGGCGGAGCTGCTGCAGCTCAAACGCCGCATGGGGCTCCTTCTGCACACGAGCAAGGTGGAGGCTTCGCTCTGGCCATGTGCTTTGAGGGAGTGGGGTCAAAACCAATGGTCAACTTTGGGTCGATGGTCCTGGCCAAATCCAAGAGATGGCATCACCAGACTGGGCAGCTGACAAATCCCTTCAAGAGGGTACAGGTGCTCGGTCCAAGTCCTCTGACGTCGTCAGGTTGGGTGGCCAAAGACAAGCAGAATAGAAGTCAGCATCTTCGAACGGTGGTCACACCATCTAAGACACTTGAGGCGGTGCTGGAACTGCAGGAGGTTGACTTGAAAGACAAAGGCATCAAACATCGTCTGGTGGGAAAACAGCCCATCGATCCCCATCCACTGAAGGATGCAATGTCTCGGCATTTTGATGCAAAAGGTGCAGCCGGACAACCAGCTCTTCGAGTTCTACGAGCTGGGGGGGAGACAACCGATCCAACGAGTGATCCAATTTTGGATGCAGGGGTACCTACTCCATTGAATTCACTGTCGGTATGGCAATTTGAGGAGGATGTGAACGACCTGGGGGAGGCCATTGATCAACCCATGGAGCCAGTGGAAGAGGGAGATCATGAAAGAGAGACCGAGGGTGTGGAGTTGGAGGTGAGTGGTCCATTGAGGGATTACCTGCAGGAGCTTGAGTGGGACTTCAGTGGTGGTGGATTGGAGTTCATGGAAGAAGAGGAAGAGGTTGATGAAACAGAGCCGGAATCCGAAGGTGATGAATCGGGGTGGAGGGCTTGGGAGTGTCTCGGTGAGCTCGCGATGGTGTGCTGTGGAGACTGTGGCCTTCTTCAACCGAGGCATCCGCATCAGGTTCCAACGGAAAACCCCAGAGACCTTCGAGGATGTGGTGTGGTGGTGAGCTCTATGCAAGCGGCAGTGGAAGGTACACTGGACTTGGTGGAGGCTACACAAATTTCCTGTGGGTTCTGTGGTGGCAACTTGGAGTATGTAGACGACTACCGGGAGAAACGCACTGGTGGGATCTGGAAGGGCACCAGTTGTTCCTGGGATCAGGCCGAAGAATGGCACGCCATGGAGGTGAGGTCGCACGCTCATGAAGAAATTGTGGAGTGAGGAGCTACGTCATCAGGCAATTGGTGAAGAACAGGGTCGGCAGCGAGGTCGTTGGATGGCAGCGCTAGAGGCTGGACTGTTGGCGCAGGAAGATCATCTTGAGGATCAACATCGAAAGCTGGAAAGTGTGCGATTGGCTGCGGTGAAGAATGAGGCTGATTTGGAGATCCAGGATCCGGGAGCCCCTCCACCGGCAGTGCTACAGACGTACACGGTTCCTCTTCAAAGGGTTCGGCAGGAGCTGGCAGCGTGGGTGCCTCCTATGACAGATGAGTACCAATCCCTGATTGAAGGGACCAAGGCATTGAGCCCGACTACCATGGAGGAGTTGGAGAAGGATCCTCTGTTTGTGGGATGTTGGTTCCAACCATCAAGGCTCCCCATGGGAAGAAACGAGCCCGCATCGTCGTATGCGGCAACAGGCTCGAGGCTCTGGATGGCAGCAGCACGGCCCAGCAGAGCAAGGAGGAGCCACAAAACCTGTACGCTGGTGGTGCAGACGGAACCACTATCAGATGTCTTCTTCGAAAAGCCTCGGCAATGAGCTGGGAAATCGCAACATGCGATGTCAAGACTGCATTCCTCCTGGCGCCTCGTGAAGATTCCAGTCGGCGGCTGGTCGTGGTGAGACCACCACGTATTCTCGTTGAGGCAGGTATAGTTGGACCTCGAGAACTTTGGCGAGTTCAACACGCCCTATACGGACTTCGCTCATCGCCATCTGATTGGCATTGGGCGACCTACCGAAACCGGTTGATGAGGTCGTTTCAGTGGCAGCAGGAGGGAGTGACCTTGGAGCTTCGGGAGACGCCGGAACCAAACTTGTGGAAGATCGTCGAGAAGACGCCACTGGATCAAGAGGAACCTCCACCAAGGGGTTTCATTGGGGTCTACGTGGATGACTTCATTGTCGTTGGGGCTAAGGAGACAGTGAAGGGTGCTTTGAGCCGGATTGAAATGGAGTGAGTGGAGTTCCGCCGAAGAGGACAGTGGAGTCTATGTGGGACAACAGGCCTACATCCAGGAATTGCTCAGTCGACATCCGGAGGTTACTCCAGCCACCGTACCTTTTCCGGGCACGCCAAACGAGGAGCCGGAGACAGAGGTCACGTTGGAAGAGGTGAGGAGGGCGCAGGGCTTGGTGGGCGAACTACTGTGGGTGTCAGTGAGAAGCCAACCAGACCTGGCTTATGGAGTGGCTTGGATGGGAAGACAGGTGACCAGAACTCCAAGACGGGTCATGGAGTATGGATGCCAGATGTTGGGATATTTGAAGACAACCTTGGCATGGTCTCTACATTATGGACGTGCACGGTCGTCAATCGCAGGAGAGCACTACTACCCCACGATGAGAGTGGATGTTCTTTCGGACGCATCGTTCGGACCGCCTTCAAAGGAGTGATTGGCACCTATGGGGGAGAACCTGTACAGTGGGAGTCCAGGCAGCAGGCCTTCTGCACTTTGTCTAGCGCGGAAGCCGAATTGCTGGGCTACACTGAAGCTATGACACTATGGGGGATTCCTTGCCGGCCTTGACCAATGTGTTGGAGGGGCATGAGGGAGAGGAGGGGACGGAATGTCGTCTAGGGGGCGATAACCAGGCCGGTCTTCGAATTCTGGAGGCCCCTGATGGCCCCTGGAGGACTCGTCACCTTCGCCTCCAAGCTCATGCTTTGCGAGAGCGCGTCAAATGGGGTGGAAGGTGATTCACATCCCAGGTCAGCATTTGGTGGCAGACTTCCTCACGAAGCCCATTGGAGCGGCGGCTCGATGGCAGCACTTCTTTGTGGCGATGGGCATGAAGCCGGTGGTGGAAGCTTCCTCTGATAGCTTAGGGTCCAAGGTGGCCAGGATTGCAGCTTTGGTGGGCGGCCTAGCAGGGATTTTGACTTGGCGTCCTACAGAAGGGCAGCTCAAAGTTTAGCCGTAGCGGCGATGGTAGCTAGTTTGGCGACTACCTGGAAGGCAGGCTGTGATTCCAAGAAGAGAGCTACTGGGTCAACGAGAAATGAGTATGTAGATCCACCATATGGACCAGAAGATCAGGTGAGGGAAGATGAACCCACCTGCGGTAGGGAAGAGGGGTCAGAAGGAGAACCCACTTCGGAACAGAAAATCGCCATGGCGGAAACACCAAGAGGGCGCGGTTAGCTGCGCTTGGAAGAGGCGAGGCTCCTCTGCGGCAACTGGTGTGCCCCCGGCAGTTGATCACGATCGGCCTTGGGCTTGGAGGAGGTTCACCTCGCCGTCGCAGGGTCAAGATGGATGGGATCGGCTTCCTGGAGGATGGTGGGTTCGACACCATGTGAGGCAGAGGGTGAGACCTTTTCATCCAGTTCATCGACGGACTCCCATGGATTGCAGCCAAATTCAAGATCGGAGAATTACTGTCTTGTGGTGCCATGGTGAAAGGGTGATTCGAGATGATGACTGGCTAACGGAAACGGATCCACCGGTGAAGGACGCCTGGGTGGGATACACCTTCTCCAGGGATCTTCGACCAGAGCCGGCTTCAGGTACTTTGACCTCGACGTCCAGCTCGTCTACTACAAAGGGGCAATCAGACCGCACCTCTTCGTCTATGAGCAGCTCATTGACATCCGAACCTCCGCCAATGCCGGGCATTGCGGAAGATGGTCCATTGCCGGATGGACAGCCCAGAGAGGTTCGACCAAGCAGACGGGGGTTGGAATCAGACCAATTGGGCTCAGTTTCCGACCAGGGTACTGGTATGACCGAGGGGATGAGCAGCTTGGGAGGATATGAGCAGCGGCTTCGTGGCCACCTACATCGGGGCGAGATGGATGGGTCTGGAACTTCTGGAGACTCCAGAGAGCTCTCCTTCGTGGAAAAGGAGGAGATCGACCATGGATGGGACTATGATCCAGCGTATTGGGCTCAGGGACCCGGAGGTCATGACGGCACTACCTTGGATGAGGATGTGCGAGATGATTGGCGGACGTTCATGAGGGTCGTGGCAGTTGATGTCGAGCCACAGACGGAGAACAGGCCTGATGAGAGTGAAACGAGCAGCGCAGAGCGACCTGACTGGAGGAGATCATTGGCTAGCGAGGATGAAGACCCACCTACCTTGGACGAGATGATCGCCCGGGGATGGAGAGTGGTGCGGAACGGCTTAGCTCCCCCGAGGAGGGAGAGCTATCGTGGACCCGACCACGCTCCTCCCCCGGTTGTAGACCAAGAGCAGGAAACGCCGATCTGGATGGGCATTTCCACGCAGGAGCCAGTGAGGCCCCGGTCAAATGACCCTTGGGAGCCGCGACGCGGTTTTTCCGGAACCTCGAGGGTTCGCGAAGACTCATGTGAGTCTGACGGAGGTTTTGAGAAGCTGGATCCACGAACCTGAAGTGGCTTGAACCAAGCCAGGGGAGTGTGATTCGCCATTTGCGTTTGCGTACACAAATCAGAAGTGTACCAGGGTTTCAGGTGTACTGTGTTTGGGGAAAGCCAAGCGCCCCTACACAAGAAGACACAAACCAACCTTTTGACTTTTGGCTCAAGAAAAGGACCGCCCGACGTACTGGGCATTGCGCTGTTCCGCAACCACAGAAACAAATACAATAAATGCATGCATTGCACATGGTAGATGCCACATGTAACATACCTTACCCACATGGAGGGCACATGAAGTGAAGTGTCAAGTCCCGTGCACATTGCGCACATGCCACGCCATTGTGTCCGCGTCCAGGCTTGTACAAATGTGCCTGACTCGCCCTCGTTGTTCCATGTGTTCGCTTGGACACACCCAATCAAACCTTTCTTCAGCAGGTCGGACTTCAAGCAATGCAATCAAGTGACGAAGAACGTTGTCCAAGTAGCTGATACTTGAAGGCTCCTTCGGGTTTGAGCCAAACAGTCTCTGTGTGCTTCAAACCTGTCCCCATCTGTTCCCTGACCAGAAACATGGTTCTCTTGGCCATCCAAGATTCTATCAGCGTGCAAAATATCAATGCTATAGGTTCACAATATATACTGTAAGTATATAACGTGCCTGGCCTTTGCACTTGCATGAAAACACAAGCCAGGCAAACTGACACGTGAAAAACTCTGCGGCAACTCGAGAACAAACCCCAACACGTCAGGCGCCTCCATGTCGCTATTGAGAGTGGCTATGCTCATAGCCCGCGATACGGTTGGGCCATTATCTCCACTGTACCTATAAATCAGTGCCAGTCAAGCATCTCGCAAATCACACTTGGTAGCTTGGATCCTCTTGAGAGTCCTGCAGTTGTACCATGGGGTTGCGTTGTCCAAATGCAAGACTACAGTAAACCCCTCTTGACTGACTCGGGCTCACTCCGAGTTGAGGTCCATGGCGCCATCCTCCTTGACCAAGACGCTGCGTTTTCTCTTTCCTGCACCCGATCGGATGCAAAATACCCAGACACACTCGCCGGTGCTTCTTAGCAATGCCCAGGATAACATTCACACGCACCTCGGAGAAAGCTCGCAATTTCATGCGACGCTTGCGGAGAGACGCTCAGCGAATTCCTTGCGAGGTGTTGCAATCAAACATGTGAGATCTTGCTTTTTCCATAATAGCTTCCCTCACACGGTGTAAGGCGTTCGCGCTCAATGGCTCAATGTAAGACACTGCCCGTCCACTTGCTGCGCTAAATGACACAGCAGACTCAGAAATCTCTTCATCGGGATGTTTTAGTCACAGCCTAGGAACTGATCTATCAAACCAAGAAACTCCCTTTCTTCATTCTTCCATATTCTTAGCATCTGAGACCACAAAGATTGAAAGCCGAGCGCAACCCCTCTCGCCTTGGAGAGCTTCTTGGGGAGAGCGACTGCTTAAAGGTGATCTCCTCACGGGCTCCGAGGCTCTGAACTCGAACGGCCATCTCGAACACGAAAAGAATGCAAAAACTGGAAGCTGTGGATTCATTCAAATCTATATAGGTAAATCTCAAAAATGGACGTAAAATGGTTATATACGTTGTTCTGCTATATGAGCCTGTTTCTCTTCCAATAGCAAGCTGCTAAAGCCTTTCTATGGCATCGCATGTCCTTGGCCTCCTTGGACCCTGATCTCGGGACGTTCGGGTGGGCCAACATGACCAAAGAGGGCCGCTCTTCGACCCATCAAAGCAGCCTTCTTCGGCGGCCACCGGATCAAGCAACTGCTTTCCACAACCGGTTGTTTCGGGTGTCCTGTGTGTTGTTTGGTTTGCTTGGATTGGATCTTCAAGTAAAGCAGCTGTGTAAAGCTTTGGGATGTTCTGGGTGTGAGGCTGGAGTCTCCTATTTTGAGCTAACTGTGGTGCGCTACCCAAAAGAGAAGGATGCCCTACTGTGGTACAAAAGCCTTGGTTGAAACGGAGAACCAAAAGAGACAAAGTGCTGCCTCGCTGGTGAGACAGCGGGTCAAACGCAGCTTCGGGCACAATCTCTGCTAAACAGAGTTGAGCCTGAACGCTGAGGTGCCACAAGGATGTTCGAGCTGATTGCTAATTGTCAATCTCTTGGATTGGAGCACTGCAGGACTCCACCTGCACTGATAAACGTGTTGATGCAAATGTGTGTTGCAAATTCGGCTTCCACAAAATCAGACTCGAAAGAAGTGATTCACTCACCAATTCATCAGGATATGGATTCTTGGCAACTGCACATTCATCTTGCATGCCATAACAAAAGCGCCCCCAGGTCCCAGCGAGTTGAATCACAGCACCTGCCAGTCGCGCAGAACTCACATTCACATGTTTTCTGTTTCGGAATCGTATGATTCTTACTGTAGCTTGACTCCTTGACTACTAGTATCACTTCACACTACACATTGTCACTTCAGGGAGCGAATTTTGTGTTGCGCATGTTGACTACGGGAATACAACGTTGGATTGGATAAGATGTTGACATTAGTTGACAATGTTGATAGCATGTCAAGTTCTTACTCTGTAGAATACAGTCTCCATGTCCCACAAATGGTTACCCATGTAACCCCCACACCGCAAGTCAAAAAGCATGGCAGCTGGGATCCCTTGGTGGCGGTGGTCGTGCCCGGCGCTAAGACAATTCAGCAGAGGCCGGCAACTGCTCTTTGAAGTGTGCTGGAGCGGCTGTCCCAAGGCCACGTACTTCCATGGACCGGAATATATGCTACAAGTTCATCAATGGTCCGCACGATGACGCTGTCCAGTCAAAGTAAAATGTCAAAATAAAGTGATACAAAGGCGAAAGACTGGGCTTCCCCCAGGAAACGCAAGGACAGGCGAGCATTCCCGAGCTGAAGTGGAATAATATGCGATGATAATGAAGCGGCATGAAGAAATTCACAATCTGTGTCATCAAAACGGCTGCCAGCGTCCCAAAGCCGCGCATTCGAAGGGCGCGCCTTTGGCAGTCACCTACTCGGAGCGGGCGCGCACCATTTACAAGGCCGGGAAACTGGCTATCCAGCATCACCATCAGCTATGACTGGGTTGGCCCCTTGACACTTGACTAGTCCAATGAGTTAACATCTGAGCATGAGCCAAAGCTACAAGCGAATGAAGTCTGTGTGAGGTTGGGTGAGTAGTGATCCATGCTATCCATATTTCTACTCAAGGGTGCATGCAAAAACTCAACTGGAGTCTAGATCCCCGCAAGGTCAGAAACGTGGGCAAAGGCTTTCAGGCCTCCTGGGGCAAAGTGCTCATAAGATTGACGAAATCAAACTAAACATTGCACTTATGGCACCAAATTCACCGGTCCCACTCGGTTTTCCTCACAATTCCAGAGCCTCTGTCACAGTTTCAAGGTCCGGAAGGCATTAACAGGTGACATGCACGGATCACTCTATATAATCCACTAAGTCATTTGTACAACTTGTCAAGCTGCACCTCGGCAAGCTTTGTAATGTTGATGCACGGTTTTTCCAAGGCACCCTTGCACTTTCACCACCACTGGCCGAAATGACTTGGAGAACGTTCCCCCAATAAACATGAAATATCATGAAATCCGCAAGTACAAAGCACAAAGAAAGGCGGTTTCCTCTTAGCCCATTCTTGTGGCAAATAAGCGAAGGACAGCTAGCGTGCAGCATCTGCAGCATCTGAGCCACGACGATGCTTCTGCCAAAGCCTTGGCTTGTATAACAAAGATGCACATCCAATGGAAAAACGCTTCTGCAATCAGCAACTCACTTTGTGCAAGTTCTTGGAGGTCGACTTCCCGGAGACTTTCTGGCCAAATTCGTTTTCCAGTGCCTGTTGGTGCCAACGCGGCCTTGTGGCTGGGGCTTGTAGAAGCGCACTTGGGCCAAGCTGTATCCCCGACGCAGCAACCAAGCACAGTAGAACACACTCACCAAATGGTGGCTGCAAAAGGCCTGGTGTGGGTCTCAAGCTCATGCTTCAGACCGTACAATTTTCTGATGATTGTTGCACTGCTACAGTGAATCAAATTCCAAGACAAACAAGCTCCCAAAACCCTTTTGACAAAGCGTATATGCATATATATATATATATACAGCTTCCTTTAACGGGTCTTATTCCGGCTCGAACCTCAGATATTCCCGTCCGAAAGAACTCATGCTCTCTGACGTTGCGACCATGCGGCCACCTGATTGAGAGGATCTGCCTGGCATGCGACCCACAGGTACTAGCACGAAGGTGCTATGACATCCACGAGATCTGCGTTTCGATGCTTTTTGGCTGTGAAACTTCTCTCCATAGCGTTTGCTAAGGCGAGTTTCTCGCATCCGAGTTGCCCAGTACTCCTCACGCGTCACACTATGCAGGGCTGCAAGCAATCTCGGCACACGCGCTGCCAGCATCACTCCCAATCGCCTTGGATAGGCTCCTTTCTAGCTCCAAATGATCCACAAACAGGTTGCAGAGTGAACTTCGGACTGGGCTCAAGCTCACATGATTGACGATCGACTTGGTTTCCAAATGTTCAGGAAGCTTATCCGCTTAACCTTTAGATTCAGACCTTTCTTTGGCCCAAGTTGCAGGAAAGAGAAAAGCACGACTCCCCGCAATTCACCCCACAGCTCCAGAAGCAGACCATAGCCTGAGATGCGGCACGCCACGTGCACAGATCCGTCGATGTCCAAATGTGTGACTCCGGATCCACAACACCCATAGCTCTTTGAATACGATCGTAACATCAAACATGTGATTCATCAAAAAATCTTGTGATAATGCGTGACTGTTTTGTGGAGTCGGTGAGCACAGGTCCAGGCCGACAGGCCGCCAGCCATCCCCGCCAAACTGCCAAAGCACGCAGGAGGAAGGTGTGCCACAGCAACATGAAGAAGAGGATCAGCATCAAAAGCTGCAGTGCTATCCTCATGTCAGAAAGTACATATATCATATAGTGTTAAAAGATTCTTTGATAAATCATATGGTAAGCCCAGAATCCTTAATTAAAGAAAGTCGAAAAAATGTCTAACAAAAAAGTCAAATGGAAAATGAAAGGCAAAAAAAAACTTTGAAAAAGAAACACACATAAAACACCAAAAAAAAAAACAATAAAACAAAAAAAATTAGATCACAACTCGAAAAAGTCACAAAAAAAAGGTCGAAAAAAAGTCGGAACAAATAAACAAGTCAAAATGGATCACAACTCGGAAAAACAACTTTTATATAAAAAAGAAAAAGTTTTAAAAAGTCAACATTAGAAAACAACTAGAAAAAGCCAAAAAAGACGAAAGTCAAAAATAAAGTCAAACAAAAGTTTGAAAAAGATATCAAAAAAGTAAAAAAACGGATCTGGGCCAATTGACCTTTTTTGACTTTCTGAAACTTTCTGATTTGACTTTTTGTTGACTTTGACTTTTTGGATTGACCGTTTTTAAGATTTTGAAAACAGGCTCTCTCCAATGAAAGATTCTACTCAATATATAGTGTAAATGAAGGTGGTCACACACGGTTCAGGATATGCTGTATGCTGTATTTATAGAGTGGTCTTCAAGATTCTTCGGCCACTCCTCAAAAGGTGGACCTTCGCCTACGGAATCTGACCCCATGAACGGGAGAAGCACTCCAAAAGTGGAAGGCTTATTGCGAGCATCTTTCAATCTTATGCAAGGCGTCTTCTTAACAACCCAAAGCACAAAAGTCTCACCCCTCACGGGCCCACCGACAATCTTCGCATGACACTGCAAGGCTGCTATACAAAAGGCTTCCGACGTTTTGATGGGTCTCATGGTGCAGCAACATTATGCCAAGCAGCGGCAACGCACAAAAAATGATGGTCATCACCTCGGGAGAACATCTGATGGCTTCTGTACACTTGACGAGATCAGCAACACCGCCACGATATACACAGCTCTTCATCAATCGGTTCGCGCTGGTCAGAAGAAAGAACTGATTGGAAGCTGAGAAAGGCCAACAGGCTGCCCTTTTCTGTTTGTAGTGTTCGTCCTTCCTTTGTTTCATAGAGACGTTTGGCATCACCACCCCGCAAGAAGACGGATTGCATCAGCCACTTAGGCAGTCACATAATGAGATGGATCCCACAGCATGTCCGCAAAGCCATTGCAACAGCAGTCCTGAGCTGCAAACTGTGAGCATCAGTTGCTAGAAATCTGGGAATCGGCCCTGGATGGGATACGCTCCAAAGCCCCACACCCGATGCCCCAATGCCACCCCAAAGTGGACTTATGCACTTGTTTGCCCCATGCATCAGAATTTTTGGCCAAACGGCTAGCAGAACTAGCAGCAAAAGAGCATTCAGCTTCGCGGCAAACAAGTTTGGAGAAATCTCTTGGCCTGCAAATCTGCTGGCAAGCAAATACGGTCAGTGTGAATCCCAGATTGCAAACACCCAGGTGTCACTTCTCTATCTACAAAGTGCACCAACCAGTATCGCTCCCTCGCCCAACCAGTAGCGCCTGAGGTCATCCTACAGCTTCCTCACAGCGCTGGGTCCGTGTTCAACAAGGTCCCACTGCGCACAATGAAGGACGGATCTCTCACGAGCCAAGGTCCACACAGGTTCGCCCGTACACCTCATAGCCCAATGGCCTTTGAACACTCCTCTTCCATGGGGAGAGTGTTGGAAAGTTGCTAGTTGCCTTCATTAAGGGCTTCTGATTCCTAGCTGCTCTGGTTCGTCGTCTGCTGCCACCAAGCATGCAGAATGCTATAACGGTTCAAAGCAAAATTGACAAACTTCCCAACAATCCTAACTATCCGAATCCGCCTGCCACTTGCCTACCTGTTGAGACCTGGTCATGGGATTTTCCTGAAAACGTGTTGGCCACATGGTTGCTTGAAGCCTGTAAACAATGCCCAATGCAGAATATCACGGAGCTTCACACTCATCACTCAGCTCTTCTGCTCTATATAGATGCCGTCAGCAACCACCCACATGCATGCAACATCGTGAAAATAAGCATAGGTGTCCAGCGATGCTAAAGTTTAACCTTTTTTTGGCGATCAATGCCTTGGCGGACTAAACGCCAGCTGACAATGATCGACGGATCTTCCGTCGATGTCAGGGTGAAACGGCATGCCATGCACAGCTACCGTTGAATGGCACATTCATGGTTGAATCAAATGCAGGATAGCTGCAAGTAGCTGATCTCAACTCCAACAGATTTTGGCCCTAGCTTCAGCCATCCAATGGGGCCAACTGAGGCCGCGAAGCCGACGGCACGTCTGGCAATAACTCACGTGATGAGGATTGTCGTGGCCCTGGCAGACCGGTCGGCTCCTGAAACGAGGAGGCAAACGAAACGACTACAGTATGCCTTTGTACTACAGTATGCCTACAGTATGTGTATGTATATGTATATATATATACTGGTTCATCATTTGTCCATCTTCTCAAAGTGTGAGCAACAGTAAAAATTTCTTACCTACCGCCGAGGTCATTGAGAGGGGGTATCATTTTTCTTGGATACCCTATCGCTGTCCACGGCTTTGGTGCCTTTCTACCTCTTAAAGCCACCTTGCACTGTGCACTGCCTGCCAAGCTCCGTTCTGAGTTTCCCAAAAAGGCTGCCAATGCTGACTTGCGTTGAGCTAACATTCAGAATTTTTGAATGAACACCTCACCCAGATAGTTGAGCTCATCAGAGCTGGAGGAATATCACTTAGTTAGTGGAGAGCATTTGTTAATTGGCCTTGTCAAAACGCGTTGCCTGACCTGTTGTCAAGCATACCTCATGACTCCATCCCAGTAGTAGATAATGTTGTGTCTGCGACCCTACGTGGTCAACGTCAACTGCCTTCCGGGGCCAAATTGTTTAGGCATCGTTTTGGGCATCGCTTTCAGCAGCAGGCGTTTGCCAACATTTTTGATAGTTCAACGGAAGTACCTCAATGCGGTATAGGGATCGGCGATGGTCAAACCACTGAATGACCGGTTGCCAGGCATGCTGGCAGAGTTTGCCGAGTTATAGCGCAAGGCAATGACATACCGATTTTCTTAGAGACCCTATCATGTTGCAAGCTTTTGCAACCATTAAGCATCGAGTAGTTAAAAGCCATGGGCCATGACCATCGCTGACTAAAATCAACATCTGCAGGTTTTGATTGGCTCTCATGTGTGTGTGTGTGTGTGTCATGTCCCCTCTACTTACAGGGTTGGTGTCGTTTGAGGTGGCCACTTGCGCACTTGCACCAGCTACGTAGGTTTTGGAGAACTTAGCTTGCAAGGAAGCCCTGCGGAAACCAGCTCCGATCGGTCCAATCTCCTTTACCTTTGATGGCTTGTCTGGCGGAGGAGGGCTTGACACTTTTGGCTCCTAGAGAAGGAGCGAGAGCCGAAAGTTCACCGAAGCGCCCGTGCGGCACGTTCGTACCCGTGAGTCCAACTGTGCCCATCAGGACATAGCAAAAGGAGGCAAAAGGCTCAGAAACCTCCAGAAACTCAGAAACTGAGAGCCTCCTCGATTTCTCCTTTGTCAAAAAGGCTTCGGTTCGGCTCCTGGGAACTCTACGCATCAAGCCGTGGGACTCAACTGCTCGTTTTGATGTGCTGAAGCCGATTTGCTACTGCAAAACGGTGTGTTTCTAGGGATCTGCAGTCATACAGTTGCACATGTAGGTACATATATATATATATATATGGCTGCACTTGAGTTTGAAAGGTAGATAGATCCATAAATGCATTGGAATACCGAATGCCCACACATCAGGCAGCAGGTTGGTCAATATTTTATAGTATTTTGTCTGACCTTTCGGAAGTGCCCTTCCCATCGGCCTCTTTCTTGCCTTCAATTTCTTTGAGCTTCGTAGTGAGCGCCTTCACTTCCCTCACCAGCGAACACTTGAGAACCCTCAACTCGTTGAGCTCATGCACCAAAGTGGCATTTTCCTGAGCGTTGAAAGCTGGGATGTTCAATCTGCTGGGATGACATACCAAGTAGTTCTCAAATGCCTAAGCCCACAGGTAACATTCCCGGTGTTTCATTGACTTGGTGTGACACTGCACACGGGCCTAACCAGGAGCAAAAAGACTCAGGAACAAATCAAGCTTCATGGGCTTTCCTCTGCACGTCCATCTTTCCCATAGCCTTGATCTGATCACTTTTCGCCGCCAAACCTGCCACTCGCCTCTCCACCACTCTCATCTGCCGCATCATCTCCTTCAGAAAGCGCACGCGAAACAGAACAGGAGATGCGCTACAAGGGGCGCAAGGATGTGCAGCCCGTATATATGGTCTGATTCGTCCCAAGGACTCATGCTGGGCAATTGGTACCCTGCTGGCGTTGCGTTGTGTCTTTCAATGACGATAAACGACCTTGTAGCGAATGCGTTCCAGCAAACGAGGTCCGGAACCACGAAAAAGCAAAGGTGGCGTCGAAACGCCGCACCGCGCCGGCTTTACTCAATTTGAGCCCGCCCAGCTAGAGCGGTTCGGGGTCTGTCGATCGAACGAAACACATCGCTCAGCGAGCGATTCACATGGGGAGGAATTCTTCATCTCGACCCATGGGAAAAAGCTGCATAGCTTTGGAGCCATGCTTGGATGTCCTGTCGCAGACACCAGCCTCTCGGGTACACCATTCGGTCGGGCGGTGTCCCGCCGGCAACACAGTAGCAGCAGCCTTTCATCACCATCTTGTTGGCCTCACACAGCTGCTCCACGATGTGACAATCGCGGTGGTGCCAGCAAATGCCCTTCTTGGACATGTAGATCTCATGGTTGAAGGAGCACTTTTCAGCACGTTCATCCATCTCGCGCTCCAAGGCACGAACGAGAGACTGGGCATTGAGGACGAGGTCGCTCAGCGCAAAGACCTCTTCTTGAGAAAGCGCTTGCGCAGCTCTTGCCTCTCGAGCTGCTTCCAAGCTGTTGTTGGCCTCGAACTTGGAGATGCGTAGCTCATCTCTCAGCTCACGAACTTGTTCTCGAAGCCTCTGACCCACTATGGGCTCATTCTTTTGGATGCCGATGTCATACTTGATCACAGGCTCAGTGCTTTTGCCGCCAAAATAGCGGCCAAGGAGAAAAACTCCAAACATAGCAAACAGCTGCAGTGCCAAGCAGCTGATGATCCAGAACCACAGGACCTGGTCTTCTTCTTCACGGGCCGGTTGTTGAACGCATGTGTCCTGAGCACCAGCTAAGGTCGGTGCCAGCAGCGCAAGCAGCAGCAAGACATACTTGATGCGACTGTTGAAGTCAAATTTCTTGCGGCGGCCGACATGGCGCATGAGAAGCACATACTCAAGGGGCTTGGCATACTGTGCAACAAACGCATACTGAGTGTGGTGCTCATTCTGTGCAGACTGCATATTCGATGGGAGCTGCACATTCGGTGACATGTCCATGTTTTCATGCACTTCAAAGGGGTCAGGCATGTCTTCGGTCGCCTGGAGGTGCTCATCCTCATAGGTGTTCACATTCTGTGGCATGTGGACCTCAGATGTACTTTCTGCTATTGCAGCGGCTCGTTGACCTTTCGTCTTCCGCTTTGCTGCCTGGTACATTGGATCCCAGGTCATCTTCAAGCGTCCATGACGTAGTCGAGCTGAGAGGAGGATGCGAGCACTGGTCTTTGTCAGACCATCCGCAACTTGCCGTTCTGAAGACATCCAACGGAGGGTGCCGTTGAGCTCGGTGACGCGCTCCTTCATGACACGAATTTCCAGACTGACCCGTTTGTCTATCACAGAGGAATTGATGCCCTCCCTGTGGTAGGAGTCGTACAGAGCTTTTGCGTCCGTGACCAGGATGGGCTTGAGGCTCGAGGGCATCTGATCCTTCAAGGTGATCTTGGGGTTCATCAGATGCTCCCAGTAGCGACAGGTGAAATCGACTGCGTCAGCAGCCTGACCACCGGCCTGAGCCTCTGCAGCCAATGAGCTGCGTGCCACCCTTGGCGTTCGAAAGCTACGCCAATCAACAACATGATACTCGCCCTCCTCCGGCGAGTTGACCAGCTTCCGGTTCAGGAGCATGGAGATGTAGCCGCCCTGTGAATTGCCATCCGAGCGACTTGCAAAACCTGCGTCGAAAAAGGTTACCAGCTGCAGCTCTGACGGGGGACCAATGTAGTTGTACAGGAGTCCAACGTCCTTGTTGTCCTTGCTGAAGCGAAGGAGCTGGTGGCATTCCTGCAAGGTTTGTACCGTCGCTCTGGTGATCTGGCCGGAGAGCATGGATGTGGAGCACTGCAAATGCGGTGAGCTTTGAACCGCTGGCCATTGCAACGGCCACGTAGGCCACGTACTTGAGTGATCTCTCTCTCTCTCTCTTGCAGTGTCTCTGACATTGCTCTCTTCTTGTCATAGGTGATGGGGGAGACCTTGGTCAGGTAGTTGCCCTGGTGCAGCTTCCGCCCTCCTTCAGGTGTGGACTGCAACTCGCAACCACAGTACTCAAGAGTCTCCAGGTCCTCCTTCCACTCTCGAAAGGAGAAGTTGTTCTTCAGGTCGTTGATGACCTCCTGGTAGCGAGGAGACAGAGTGCAGCCACTGCCCAACATATCATCAACGTGCATGATAACCATGCCAACCAGACGTTCAGGACCAAGGCTGCTCACCTGTTGGTGATCTCATCCTTCTCATCATAGGTCTTGCTGTCGGTCTCGTAGATGAGGTAAGCAGCAGGGATCCAGTAGATGTTGACGTAGGCCTGCACGAAGGAGTCGGTCCACTGCTTCAAGAAACCATCCTCTTGGGGCATCAATTTGTCCATAACAGGGTTTGAGCAGTAGCATCCTGGAATCTTCATCAGCGCCAAGAAGCTGTGTGCACTCGGCTGGAAGTTTGACCCACAACTTGCGAGTTTGTCTTCCTTGAAGAAAGGCCGTGGACACGTCGGCGGTCCAGGTGTTCCATTTCATGTTGGCTGCGAGGGACAAAACCATGCTGCGGCTCAAACGTGTAGTAGTTGGACTTGATGTGGCCACAGTTCCTTCGAGGGCGTCGGGATCGTTGTAGCCTCGAACAATCAAGCGGGCCTTGGCCCGAGGACTGCCATCGGGGTGCTTGGACCACTTCAGAATCATCCTGGAGGTCAATGTCCGCGCAGGATCGGCTTCATCCTTATGCTGAAATGTCCATACTCCATGATCGAAGAAGGACTTCAGCTCCTTGACTTTTGCTTCCTTGAAGAGAGCACGATCATCGGGTCCAAGGAGGCGTTCGTTCACCCCGTTCTTGTCCTCCTTGAACTTCTTTGTTCGGGCCAGCTTCTGGCTCTTTGCTTCTTGTTTAAGTGGCCATCTCTTTGCGGGTGTTGCCATCGATTTGGAAGACTGTGAGGCCTGTCCAAGCATCTTTTGTGTCTGCAGGTGCTGAGGTGTCAGCGCCGTCATCGGTGAGGAGGCAAGTCGACGACCAGCATCAGCGTCCAGAAGGGCCTTCTTGGCAACGTGACGCTTGTTGAATGTCCTCCAAAGAGGCGTTGCCACCAAAGTGAGAGGGCTGCACGGCATCGGACAGAAGATCGCCTGCAAGGCTGGGTTGATACCCAAGAACCCATTGAGACGGGCTAAATCCAGCGACAATTGGCGTGGCATTGAGCTGTGGTACAACGAAAGTAAGGGCCTCTTTGATGCCTTCAACGTGATCAACTTTCACATCATCCAGGTAGATCTCGACAGCCTTGCGGATCAGTGCGTGGCGTCGCTCCACGATGGCAAGGCGTTCGTGAGCTTCGCCTGGTGCCACTTTGTGCTGCGTGCCGTGAGCGGAGGTCCATTCATCCATGATACCGCTGAGCCAAGGTCGGCCTTCGTCTGTCATGAGTAGTCCAGGTACACCAAAATGTGCAATCCAGAAGCGCTCGAGGGCCTTGATGTACTCTTCAGAACGTTCGGATCGAAGGAGGCAAGCAGCAGTATATCGAGTTGCCATGTCAACCATGCTCATGATGGCATACTTGGTGGAGCCCCTTCGGGTCCAGAACACATCAGCCTGCACAATCTCGTTGAAATTCTGCGCCTTCTGTGCGGCGGCAGGTGCTGCATCATTGGGTTTCTTGTACTTTGCACATGCCAAACACTTGTAGCTTTGAGCAGCTTCTGAAGCGCCACGAGAGGCTAGCAGCTCTGTCAGAGTGGTCGGGGATGGATGACCCAAGTTGCGATGAAGTCTTTGGACCACTCGGATTGCTTCCTGCTTCGTCTCAGCGCTCAGTTTCACCAGGGCACCTGTCAACTCCTTCTCCTCAGCATTGAAGGCATAGTCCATGGTGTAGTGAGCATGTTCCCAGAGTGTTGCAGGTTCCAGCAAGACTCGTCGCGAGTCACGGCTGGAAATCTTCCATGTAGCGGGCGCGAGAACCAAAGCCATGCGCTGAACCTTCAAGGCGACAGTGCTGGTGATCATGTAGGCATTGAAGACACATAGTTTCCTGCACCGCCTTCTTGGTGGTGAGGAGCCGTGTGTTCTTGAGAACTGGTCGCCATTGATTGTCTTCATCGAGGCATTGAGCTCCATATCGGCATTGCGAGAAGTCGGTGAGGCGACCTGGTAGATCTCGGAGGGCTCGAGTCTGCCATGACTTTGCCTCACGAGGTTGTTCGATGTGAGCATGTCGTCCTCCTTTGACCTGTCGCAGGTAGGCCTCACGAACAAAGCATAGGCGCCGATCATGATGCCATTGACGAGCGGCAACCAGGGCTTCCTGCTGATAGGGTGTCCTCCGGCCAAGTGACTGCATGCGAGACCAGAGCTTGCAAACCGGAGTGAGCAGGAGCTCTTCGGGCATCTCATCATCGAGGAGGTCCAGGAACTGCTGTTGGTGGTCGATGGAGTCGAAGTTCCAACCAGTGTCCAATGAGAACTGCCTGGCTTCCATGCCAAAGACGGCTGCCATCTCAGAAGTGCGGGCTTTTCCACAGTACACTTCCCATAAAACTCTTGGTCTTGGTGGTCGATGTAGTTCTTGGGTGAGATAGGCAGACATGTCATTGATGTGGGTGGTCAGGCGCACGTCCATGGTCTTCAGCAGTTGACCCTTGATTCGATTTGTCTGGCCCTCCTTTGTCACATGTCCATCATGGACCTGGAAACTGTGCTCTTCCTTGATGAAGTCCGGGAGAAAGTAGCCATCCTGTTGGTGGACTTCAGGATCATTGGTCTTCAGCTCAAACTGTGGCTTGTTGGGGTCATACTCAATCAAGTCGTGCTCGAAGGTGAGAGGCCACAGATTGTCGACCAAGTGGCCACGGAGATCCGCCAATCTTGAGCCTCTTGTTGGCGAAATCCATTGTCATACCCAAAGCTTCGATGATGGGCCTTCCGCACAGCAAGGGCGTGTTGCCCGGCAACAAGAACACTTCAACTGTCCCATACTTGCCGTCCACAAAGACCGGGAGATGGGTGCTCCAGTCGGACCATTGAGATGCATCCCCACCGAACTGAAATCGTCTTCGCCCTTTTGTCATCTTGATGAGGTCGGTGGGATATCCAGGCTCTTCACAGTGCTCCAGCAGCTTGCGAAAGGGACCATAACCCGACAGGAATGCGCTGGCACCGGGATCCAACATAGCGCAATCAGGTCGCTCCAGGCCATAGGCGTCCTGAAAGGTGAGGAGCACAAGTTCTTCGGGTTGAACTGCAAAAGCCATGCCTTCAGTTGGAGCGGGCCTCTTCGTTCCAGCTTTGGAAGCTGAGCTGCTGGCACCTTGTGGGCAATTAGCTGCCCAATGGCCAGGTTGGCCGCATCTCAAACAGGTGAGCGCTGCACGAGCTCTTCCTTTGGGATCAGCTTTGCCAGCACCTTGAGGTGGGTAGCGAATTGTCGTCTTGGCCTTAGATTTGCCAGACTTGGTGCCTCCTTTTCCCTTCCCCTTTCAGCGCCAGGAAGAAGGTGATGATGCGGCATTGGATGCAGGAGACACTGGCACTTGGGAGCCTTCAGTCAAAGCTACCACCGGCAGATATCCTCTGGCCATCTTCAACTCTTGGAACCGCTTCCGAGCATCTGTGTACGATGCGAAGGCGTGGTCGTACTCTTCAGCCATGTGCTGAGGGCTGACAGGCTCGGAGTCGGGGTCAAGCCATTGTTCATCACCATAGCAGCCAGCTTCATTGTCAAACTCTTCGGGCTCCTCAGGTTCGCGGTCATAGTCCTCATAGGAGGCATAGGTGGGTTCCTCTGTCCAATCACCTTCATAGTAACCTGACTCCCATAGCTCTTCATCATCATAGTCTTCAGCCACGTAGGCTCTGTTGTTGCGCCAGGGAGCATAGCCAAATCGCTTGCGATCCATAGGCCAGGTTCCTCCTTTGAAGTCTTGACCAAACAGCAAGTAGAGGGCCTCGATCACGTCCTTCTTTTCCAGGCTTGGGCCTTTCAGCGTCACCATCTGGCGCTGTTCCTTAGAGATGGAAGCGCGCCTCAACAAATGCCAGCCCTGAACTGAGGCCGGAAGTTCGACCTTGTGCTGTTGGAGCTTCCTGTAGGCCTCTTCGTGGTCGGCCACGAACATCAACAGAGTCTGGCCGCTTGTACGTTGGAGCAGGTTGAAGTAGCCCTCAAAGTCGTTGGGCAACTGCACTCGGGCATCGTATTGGAAGTTTGCATCCAACGTAGCAATGATGCGGTCGAAGGAGGATTCCTTCTCCAGCTCCTCGAGGCTCCAGTCCTGGAAGAATCTCCAGGTGACTCCTTGGAAGGATCCAACTATGTTCAGGACCGACTCGTTGCCTCTCTTGGTGAGCATCATCTTGCGATGGTAGAGATGGATTCGCTGACGCCATTCTTTGTAATCGGCCGGTTGGCCTGAGAAGGTGGGAACATAGCTATCTCTCAAATCTGTGTAGCCTCCTCCACCATCTCGTGAGCCGGAAGGTGCCTGGGTCTCTCCTTGAGTCTTCTTCGGAGGTGGCATGGTAGGATAGAGCTCTTCGATCACCTGCTTGGTGGTTGGGGTGTTGAGGTAACCAGTGCACAAAACCAAGCAAAGGTGGAGGCAAACACAAAGAGCTCTTCGAACCGTTCTTGACCCTGGTCTTATCCCGAACCGTCGGCTCGTCGTCGCGAAGTGCGCAGCGGAGCCCCTTCACAGGGCTCCGCTACCAATGTAGCGAATGCGTTCCAGCAAACGAGGTCCGGAACCACGAAAAAGCAAAGGTGGCGTCGAAACGCCGCACCGCGCCGGTTTTACTCAATTTGAGCCCGCCCAGCTAGAGCGGTTCGGGGTCTGTCGATCGAACGAAACACATCGCTCAGCGAGCGATTCACAGACCTAATTTAATGGCCTGCCAAGCTGTCCTTCTTTTCATGCAACAGGCTTTTGACTCTTGTGGGCTTCAGCCGGTTACTGTATAATCTGTATATATATATATATAAGTCGAGTGGTACGTACTTAGTTCATAAACAATTGCCTTTTGGATGCCTTCAGGCTCACAATCCTACCTCAGAGTTGATCTGCTCTACTTCATCTTCCCGAACAAAGTGCCGTGCCATGTCCTCCATTGGCAGTCGCTGGTGAACGCGGACCTCTTCGTCAACATGAGTGTGGTAGAGCCGCCGGATCTCCTGGCAGCGATCTCTCGTGTGTTTCACCACATTTTTAACTATGCTCCTCGGCTAATGTACACTACTGTATTACTGGGATCCACATCTTGGTATCCAGCAAAGTTCCTAGTCTCTCATTAGGGATTGAAGAACCTCTCTCTAACTGACGACCCGTCTCTCTTCCACGGATTAAAGTTATAAAAGCATAGTAGCTATCATTGTTGAAGAAGCCGAGGCCCGCTTTGTTGGTAAGGTGCATGTTTCTCCTGCTTCACTGCTACAGATGATGTCAAGTCAGGATTAATCCCCTCCAGTTAATCCGGGCCCACAAAGCACCCAAAAATTGCCCAAATTAGAAGTAGTATTGGTGGTTGATTTCCCCCCCAATGGTCTAGTTGGGCGCCAGAATTCCCCCCCGGTTTACCCGAGCCCACAACCAGGTCAATTTTTCGTATTATTACTACTATTATTACTACGCCTACTACTCCTACTCCTACTCCTCCTACTCCTACTCCTACTCCTACTCCTACTACTACTACTACGACGACGACGACGACTACTACTACGACTACTACGACTACTACGACTACCGACTACTACGACTACTACTACTACTACGACTACGACTACGACTACGACTACTACTACGACTACTACTACTACGACTACTACTACTAGACTACTACTACTAGACTACTACTACTACTACTACTACTACTACTACTACTACTACTACTACTAGACTACTACTACGACTACTACTACTACTATTACTACTACTACTACTACTACTACTACTAAACCTAGACTACTACTACTACTACCAGACTACTACTACTACTACTACTACTACTACTGTTATATGTTGTACTACTACTATGTGCGTGCCCCACTAAAACTCTTTGTATCATTGGCCTCTGATATGACGAAAATGGATTGTGGCAAAGGGAGATGTGTTTGTTCACAAGAACCCAGGAATAATACCTGAAGCCCTTTCTTTCGTTCTTTCTCTCTTGCTTTGTGTTGGCTTAGGGCCCTAGATGGAGCAGTCGAGTCCAGTTGAGGTAACCCTTCACGGTACCAGTGCGAAATCATGCAAAATCTGAAAATCAGCACTTGCGCCCGCACCACTTGAGTCAAGTGTTGGAGTGTTGTTGTCACAGCCCCTTCGTCCTTCGGCCATTCCTTCAAATCCTTCTGAGTGACCAGTGTGTGCACATCACTCCTGCACGGCGGGTGGTTTCCGAACTTCTGGTGCTGGACTCGACGTGGCAAAGGACCTTTCACCACACAGTTCCGAACAAAGAGCCGGGGCAAGAGGGATTGTGTGTCTTGATCCCGGGCAGGTGGCAAACATGGATGACAGGCATAGCCGCTAGCCGCTAGCCCTCTAGTCAAACGGATTCCAGTGGTCCTGAAGCGATAAATGTGGCTGTCAAGCTCGGCCAATTGATCTTTGAGACTCTTTGATTCCTGCATCGTTGGTCAAAAGTTATCCGCACAGAATCAAGAGAAGACTCCCCAAGCTCCAGGATCCAAAGATGCTCTAACAGACTCTAACACTTTCCGCACCAGTTTTGTAGGGGAAAAGCAATGAAAAACACACGCATGATGGCACGGCGACACATGACCTGTGTGAGGATGCCCGCATGCTGGCGCCGTTGGTCGATCTTCTCTTCTAGGGCACGCTGCTCAGTGAGCTGTCGCTCAAACTCAGCCTCCAAGTCTGAGAGATCCTGCGTTTGAAGAGTACTAGTAGCGAACAAGGAAGAAAGCACCATAGTAGGAAATCCCCATAGAGGGTTCTTGTAGCGAGTTCTACAGAAGAATGCCTCTTCGTCCCAGAACACTGTCAAAAAGAATTCATAGGGCACGGAGCCTGGGGACAGCATCTGTAAGCCTGTCCTGGTTGAGCTTCTGAATCAGTGAATCCTTGGGCTGCACTGATTCAACCACCTCCCCAAGCTTCTTGTCCAACAACAGCTTGAACCTCTTCAAGGTTCGCTCCTGAAATTGCACTTAAGGCATGTGGAGATCATGCATGCTGGCGGGACAAACTCAGAGAGCCTGGGTTAGGTTTGTTTGGTTCGCTCCTTGGACTTGTAGGTTTCGATGCGTCGTTCCTTTTCTGCCAAGGTGGCAGCACGATCGTCGCGTTCCCCCTGAAGGCTCTGAAGTGTCCGCTTCAGCTCTTCAGCCTGTTCCCTGCGGACGGGCGTTTTTAGATTTGGGGGACACCATCCCAACTCTCAAGAAGCTGTCAGTCAACAGCTTAACAATGCGAAACATAGACAAACACCGTCTTGCAAACACCTCGTAAATGTGGGTGCCTTGCCTCAAGCCTTTCAGGGTGGAGGCTGCTTCCTGCTGCTTTTCCTCGACAGCTTCCCGGTCCTTCTCTTGCATTTCGAGACCTGCACAGGAATCTCTGCTGCAACAAACGGCGCCTTCTCAGTGACTTTAACCCTCTGATCTTCAATTTGGGATGGCTGGCACAGAGGTCACCTTGAACAGTTGCATGGGCACGAAACACATTTACGCCTGCATGGACCCCAAATAGCATAAATATCAAAAGATATTTGTGGCCAGCACCCGATATTAGCGGCACGCAGGCTCAAAACCACACACGGCTAGACATCTCGCAGCAGCACCCTGGAGCGGAGCGGCACCCGGCAGCATCCCTGCTCGGAAGCGTACACGGCCATACACATCTCTCCAAAGCAACACCCTGCAGCTGCACCCTGCAGCGACACCAGCATCAAAGCTCCAAAGCGCACACAGGCACCTGCTGCCTATACTTGAAGTAAGAACCCCAATAGCTCTATATAGCTGCTCTAGCTATCTGGGGAACAACCGTGAATAATTTTCATGTGTTTCTCTCCCTCCAGTCACCTGAATCACGTTCACCTCCTGTGTCTTCCACCCCTGGGAGCCTGCCTCGGAGCAAAGTCTCCTGTTCCCGTCGCAAATCCTCCTCCACCTGCCAAGTGTGACTCATTAGTCTGAGGCCACTTGTGCAACCTACTCTCTCCCTCTCATCAATACATGCAATTGCTTAAGACTGAGATCCATGAAGGACCTGCACTTAAGACAATTGTGAACCAAATCACTTCTTATTCAGCATTCTTCAGCGTTCCATGTTGAAAACTGCTGAGGCTCCGCCTTCTTCTGCTGTTCCAAGGCTTCCCAACCGGCATGCTTTAGACGCATGACGTCTTGGTCGTGGTCCTGGCATCAATGTTCCACATCCACCAAACAGCCTGCATCCTCCACCCACCCTCCATCCAGGTGTGTTGCGTTCGCCGCATGCCTCGCCACGCTTTTCTCTTACAACTTCGAAGCGATGCTGCACAAATGCCAGCAAATCCTCCAAGAGCGATTGGCGAGTGTCTTTCATCCAAAGGCTTGTATCATCTTGTATCGGTAACTGCGACACAACACAAATTCTGTCCTGATGTTTCTTTATCTCCAGGTCCCGCTCCACCAGCAAACGCTTCTCTTCTTCTTTGGCGGCAATGGCTGATTGCTTCAATTGCTCCTCACATTCTTCCTTCTCCTGGTCTATTGACTCATCCGACCCTACACAGCATAAAACAAGCAACATCAATGAAGTAGCCCCGAATATAGAGCAATAGGGAGCACATTGCTCGACAGCATCTCAAGCCCGCCCTTGCACCCACCAAAGCACAGCGGCATATCCTTCAGCATTTGCTCTTGAAGTTTCTCTTTCTGAATCTGCAAATCCAACAAGCCTAGGAGCAGCGCAACTCTCACCAAACGAAAAACATATATATACTTCATGCGCGCATGAATGGCCTCTAAGCTGCGATCTGCCAAGTTCCAGTCACACAAATCCATTACTGTAATGGTTTGATTCCTGGGCCCCCTCTGGAACAATGGGCAACATGTCAACTGACAATTGCTGAAGGAGGACTGGCGGACCATGGCTTGCTGCAAGTCCGACCAAGTCGATGCATGAGCCAGTGGAAATAGAGTGATAAGTGATAAGAAATTAAGATGCTAGCAGCTTAGTTTGAAGCACGCTTTGCTAAACACATCCACATCCCACCATGCACTGTTCAGAGTGTTCAGTCAAGGAGCGGTCCGACTCATGGCTTAGTTTGCGCTGATAGAGCTTGGACAGCTGGTCTGTGGCTTCGTTGTGCCTGGTCTCCATCGCCTCACATTCACCAACGACGGCGAGACAAGGCACGGAGTTGGTGGTCAGGCCAATACTCAGGAGTTTTTGTAGATCCAGGACTCCAGGACTCCAGGACCAATGATATGCTAGTAACTAGCAGCTGGGACGGAAAGCTCAGGCTTCTTAACAAAGTCCTGTCTGCCTGAGGGCATGGGGAATCTTCTTGAAGAATCCCTCGAACTATTTAATTGTCCTAGATGTTTGGAACACTTAACTTAACCTCCAATGCTCTTTGTGGTTCTCTCGTCTCTCAACCGCTGTCTGTCAAGAGAAGGCTTGGCGGCATGGCGCAAAAGGTGAGGTCAGCAACCCATGTTGGGAAGCGTCTATGACGAGCATGATTGAGGCGAGAAATGCTGCGCCTTCATCAAGCCTTGGCTCTCACGCTCTTTGGCTGCACAGGCTTCTTCTAAAGCCGCATAGCGGCGCTGAAGCTCCTACAGCAAGCAGCTGACCAAAACGAAGTGGCAGACCAGCGTGCATGGCCAGACTGAGACATACTATGGTAAGTGTCCAGGTGTGCCATGATGCACCAGTAACACACTTGTTGCAGTCGCTGTGGGTTCTCCTTAATCTCAGCTTGATCTTTCTCCTGTGCCTGGGCCACTTTAGCCGCACACTGCTCCTCGTGCAGTGATGCTTCTCGCTCTAGCCTCTCCTCACAGGCGAAAAAGCACTGCAAACCGCAAAACCTAAAAATATAACCGGTGAAGTCAGTTATGAAGTCCACGACCCAATGCCCAAGAAAAAAACAAGACGACCCGCTCCTTCATGCCTCTGCACTCGCCCATCAATGCTTCGCAGCGATGCTCCAGTTTCAAGATCTCCTCCTTTGTGCACAAAGTGGGCGGAGGGAGATGAATAGGAGTCTGCAAAGAGAGTCTGCAAAAAAAAATGTTCCATCTGTCGTGATCAATGATCTAAAGTCAGTGATGGCGTGCATTCTTTGTCCCCCATCGTAGGTTTATAGGCAGTCTGCTCGGCTTGGTCTTCAATGTTAAGGGATGTCATTGAACAATGGTGGCACAGCCCTTCCCAGAATAAAGTAAACAAAAAGAATCGTGCCACATTGGAACACCTGGTGACATACAAATCAAGCTGATCTCTATACAACACTAGCAATGAACATGCCATCCAATCTTCTCTATCTCTTCTCTCTGCATGCTTTCTTTCAAGCTGATCGAGATCAGCGCAGCTTCTCCTTGGAGGCCAAAATGCTTTGAGCCTCTGGCGAGAACTTATCCATGTCTGTGACATGCAAAGCCAATGGTAGCACTGCAAGCCTTAAGGTCAGGGTACAGGCACTGCAAGCAAGTCAAGAGTCCAGGCCAAAAACTGAAAAACCTCCTACAATTAAATGCAATGCTGTTTGCTGTGCAGTGCTCCTAAACTCATGCTGTCAGAGATCAGCCAGTCACACGTGTCATGATTTGTCGTGCAACGTCATGCAGCATTTGGCTTCACTTGCGGCTGAAACACTCATCATGAGAGGCAAGACCCTGAACACTAAGAATGAAGAGCACGCCATCCTGCCAAATGAAGCTGTGCTAGTCGCATTCAACAAAGAGCAGCAGCTTGAATAGAACCAAATCGATGATCTGACTGTCTGGAGCACCAGTTAAGCAACAACCTAAGAACAACGTCTGGCCTTCCCCGATGTGTCCACCCTCTTGAACCTCTTGCCGGAACCAATCCCCATCCTCCCTACGACGTTTCTCATCGACTGTTCTGGCGAGTCTGATACCTGGTCGGATCGAGCCCCGTTCGTAGCGTCCTTGCTCCTAGTAGTAAGGCCAGGAGCTCTACTAGCGTCCTTGCTCCCAGTAGCGATGCCCTTTGTTCCTAGTAGCGTTCTTGATCCTAGTAAAGGCCAGGAGCCCCTCGTGGCGTCCGATCGCTCCGTTCGTAGCCCCTTGGACCCATGGGCCGCCTGGTCCCTGTCCAGCTTTCTGTAATTCATCGGTCCTCTCCGGCAGTGACCAGCGAGCGGCCATCGACTGAGATACACAAGGCATTGCAGGCGAGGCTGTGCAAAGGGAGCTCGTAGCTCTTGGGCTGACTCCCACTGTGGAGGGACATATAAACCTTGCAAGTGGTCGAGTGGTTGAACCGTCCAACCCCAAACAAGTCCGGAAATCCGGAAATATCGTGAATAACTGCTCAATAGGGTTGGCAATTTCCCTGCGCCAAAAAAAATGAAAATGTTCTGCATGACAAGCATTGCAATATATAAAGCTTCAAAGGTACAAGTTGTTATATAAAGCGTTGTCCCGTGCCACACCTCTCCCTCCGCCAAGGCACCTGCAATGAACCCTTCTGGGTACCAGCCAAGAAAGCATTGCTGCCAGAGAAATGGCTCAGAGTCGTGACCTGCGGGCAGTGCAGCTCCGTCTCAAACCTAAGCAGGCAAAAATCTTGCAACATGTGCTACCAACGAGTCTAACTGATCTTCCGTCTATCAGGCCGCCCATCCACGGCAATGACATCAATATATATATATAATATGATGTTGCATGATGTAGCGACATCTGACCTCTTCGACTTGCCGTGCCAAGATGCTCCACATCATATTGTGAAAAGCGCTGCAGCAGCTGCTTTCCATTCCGGTGCAAACTACAAGTGGCTTGGTCCTGCACCCGTTGATGGCTGGCTTCAGGGGATCAGAAAGTTGATCACGTCCGATGGATGTGGTGCCGGCTTTATACTTCAGTTCCACGCTCCTATTTCAACATCCTCCTACATTGATTAGCATAGCAGCGAAGCTATGCGAAGCTGCTATCTGGGCGAACGGTTGCTGCAGCACTGAACTTCTGGCACATGAATTCACTGGTCTCTGAGGGGCTCTCAGGCGAATGAACAGTGTGATCTTGCTACAAGTGCTTGCACTTCAGATCTTCGATGCTACTTCAGCGTATCGGACCTCCGAATTCTGGCAGAAGACTACCTACAGTATACAGTATGTATATATATATATATCGTGATGCGTGCAAAATTGCATCTTGTATCCAGATTTACCTTTGTTTGCTTCCACCTGCAAGGGCCTTGGTTGCAATGCAGTGGCATGTCCTGCGCAATGCTGCAAATAGCAAACCATTTTGATGCAGGCTCCTCGGCAGAGTTCGGCACTCAAACGGTGAAGACATGCTGAGTCGTTCGAAGTGGCCCCTCTCTTCGTCTGGCCGAAAACACCAAGCCACAGTTCTGGTTGCCTCGATCTCAAAGGTGTTGAGATTCCAAATGATGAGCTTGCCATCATCGCCAGTGCTCCAAAGTGAGCGGTCCTGACTCTGTCAAATGCACTCCAACTGCACTCCGACTGGACTCCCGGCATAATCGATGATGACTCCGGCCACTCGGACTGTAATTGCATGGTGGGGTGTTGGATGTTGGATGCCTCATGTCTCACGTCATGCCTTCGCTGAATTGTCCTCCGGATCGAAGCTGATGCTGGTTACATCTCGACTGTGGCCCTGAAAAGTTGTCGCCTGCGAAGGTTGCGGTGGGACTGTCACAGCGGGGCTTGCAAGAAGGTCTCACCGTTCAACAAATCATGAATAGGATGTGGGCTCAGAATTTTGTCGGTAATCCATATCGGATAACTCTGGGATGGGTGTGCATAATATAGGCATGCGCGATGCAATTTCTTACTATATAATTACATAGTATGCCAGTATGCTCTCTCTCTCTCTCTTTCTCTCTCTCTCTCTCTCTCTTTCTCTCTCTCGATACACATAATCAATAATCACAACTTCAATCAGGATCAACTAGGAAGGTTCCGGCCTTTGTCAAGGTCCGCACGCTAAAAAGATGTATCACCTTCCCTTGGCACACGGCCAAAAGGTGCCCTCCAAAGCTAAACTTGACGAGATGAATGGAGCGCATGACGATTTCACTGTGAAGCTTCAAGTCCTTCACCTCGGGCCGTACGCGGGCCGTACGGCGGTACGGTACGGGCCGAGCGACCGAGAACGTAGTCGAGTGGGTGGGGGTTTTCTGCCCACCTAATAGCTTCTACTGTAGCTACTAGTAGCTTCTTGTTCCTGGTAGCGATGGCCTCCAACCTACTTGCGATGGCCCAGGTACCAAAATGTGATATAATCGTAGTCGATCACCAAAGCCCACGGCCGCATAGTATCCAAAGGGGTGAATCGCCACAGCACAAGGTGCATCATCTGTCAGGGAACTGCATGGAAAATGAAACTGCGAAACTGAAGCACACAAAAAACCTTGAGGATGACTCAACTGGAACACTCTGCCAAGGCATGAAACCATGAAAGTCAAACTTCCTTTAACTCACTCTTTTGCTAAATGCCCATTACACGACAAGCATGGCAAAGCTTCAGTTGCTTCCAACCCTCTCACATAAGCAAGTGTGCTACAAATGATTGCAGGAGAAGCTGCCAAAAATGGCTATATAATGCAAACGACATAGAAACATGCTGGCAAGTCACCAAACTTCATGCAAATCTCACAAGTGCGGGCAGTGTAGTTCCAGACTCTCAGGGAGCTGTCGCCCTGCCCACGTTATGCCCATTGAAGTGAAAGCTGTGGCAACGATTCTTTCCAACTGACTAGGCTTGCCTGCCTTTACCTAAACTAAGTAAAGTTGGAATGCTGATATCATTGTTGCTTCTTGCAAAACGGGTGCACTGGCCTTGCAAGCAGTAATGATCAAGGTCCGATGCACGGCCATGTCCATAGCTGTGATTGCAGCAGAATGATTGCCCATGACATGGCATGAGATTGGCTCCTACCAGGTTGCATCAAACACTTGCACCACGTGACTTGGCCTTTGACTTGAGCGTGCATCTCTGACCAAAATCAAACGAGCGAACAAAGGGTCAGGACCATCCAGACCTCTGCGTTGTAAAGAGATGCCATTGTTACCAGGCCCATGTCTGCATTGCCAAAGCCCAATAGCAACTGCTCTTCACCCACTGTGATGTCCAAGGTGCACACTCCGTCAGCTTCCGGTCGCACCTTGTAAATGAAAGTCACTGGAGGGAGACTTCTGAATGAAAGCTCGCAGTGAAACAAGAGACACCAGGCTAGCTGGCCAGCTGGTGAAAACATGAACCAATGCGGCAGATTGCAATATCAAGAACAAAAATGACCGAAATCTCTCTGTTGGGATCTTACAGTCAACACAATGCACGTTGCGCACCTTCGCAGCAGTAGAGAGATGATACTCTTCCTCCACACTCCTCATGGATTCCCCTTCCGCATCATCTGTCTCCCAAACAGCGACGTAGCCAAGTGAGCCACCAAGCAGAAAGCCGCCCGTGAAGGCACGAATGCCTTGCAAGTTCGTTTGGCGAACCACCCTTCATTCCATGCACTCATGTGAAACTGGTGACACTTCTATTGCAAGTCATGTGGAACTGTTTGCTGCTATTGACTTTTGCACTTCATTGCCAGCAACCATTCGGATCTGCAAGCGGGAAACACTTTCCGCAACAAATATGGGATCAACACCTTTCACGCGTGTGGGAGCCTCAATCTTTTTATGGTGGATCGGGGAACGTATGCATGGTGTTTGTATAGATACGTCTACGTATATATAGTTTTCTCCCACCCTGGGCGATCTGAACCTTTCGTATTGATTTTTGACAAACGCAGCCTCCGTTTTTTCCTTACCGTGTTGATCTAGCTATGCGCAAATCTGGTCTCAACTGGGCTTTACCAACATGGTGGGCTTGTCCAAACCAAACACCTGAAAGCAGACTGGAAGCTTAGCGTCAGTAAGCTGCTGAGTCAGTGAACTAGCTGAGCTAGGTCTGCCAGTCTCGCGTGATCGCACTGGCAGGCAGCCTGCCCCCGCAGTTGTTTTCGTCTGCAACCCCACATATGCATATATATAAAAACTCACGCCCGCTAGCTTTTGATGCGCTCCGCAGTTAGGTCAA